TTTTATGTATGCTGCATGCACATTTTACATTTTATATATGCAGCTGACGACGCTTTGAACTTTGCGCCCCAGAAACTGTGCTGCAAAACATCAGTAAATACGCTTTTTGTGCTTGTTTATGTGAATTGAAATGCGAACGCGAGCGCGAATGTGAATGTGAATGCGATTTGCGTTTATGCGTGCCACTTAAAGCAAGATGACAGCAGCAGATGCAAAAACTTGTTCTACAAATAAGGATTAAACGTCGAAAAATTAGACAAGAAAGAAAACCTTATAAGAAAACTCAGCTTGTCCTTCCCAAATCGAAATACAAGAGTTTTGTGAAATATCACATTACCTAGTCCAAGTTCCTTGCTTTAAACTGAAGACAACATTTCCACCCGCTCTTAAATCTAGCCTCACATCTCAAAAAGTTGCATATAAAGTTTTCCGTACACTCCGTAGGGTGAATAGTTGATGCAAAAACTCTTTCTTTAATGATACAGAGCTTTGAAAGTGAGTCGAAATGAAACTTTCACTCATTCACATTTCTCCTCCCAGGACGGGTGGATTTCCGGAACACGTCTCATTTGAATTTTCACATCGATATTTGAAATTGATTTAGAAGCCAATCGGATGGCACACAAAAAGTTACATGCAACCGTTTCCACCCATTATTCACAGTTGCGGGTGGAAACGTCAAAAACTCTTCAAGTTATAAAAAAATGGAAGGGATTAAAGTAAATGCGAAAGTTTAAATGGAATGCGATGTATTCCAGTTGAGAGAGCCCGACTGAATTCCTTATAAACTATTCTATATAGAGCTCAAGGGTTTTTGTTTCTGTTAAATATTTTCACAAAAGTCTAGTATACCCTTTTTACACATGAATATAGTAACAGGGTATGCACTCTGCAAGCTGCTTAAATAATTGCAATTAAAATGTTATTTGCTTGACTTAAATCAGCGCATAAACGACCAAAATGCAAAATCGCAAAGAACTTGTTGGCCAAAGAGCTTCAGCTTTGATTGCAATTAATTTGAGTTAGTTTTCGCTTAGCACTGCGTGCAGGCAGTGTAATTTGTAAAGCCGGCTCTTGGCCGGGCCCAAATGAAATTTACCCGTCTAAAAGGACGAGAGCCAGTTGTGGCAACAGCTACTTAAAGGCAGCCTAATATGAGTACGGATGTTGTGCGTCTGTATTCGTATTCGTATTCGTATTCGTATGCGAATGCGAGTGAGCATTTGCATAAGCAGTTGCCACGCCCACACGCAGAAGCCCACGCCCGCGCCCAGGCCAAAAATGCACTCACCTGTTTTATTTGCACACATCATGCGCTCTATTGAGTTCTTGCGCCCAGGCTGCAGCTGCAGCTCCTACCCAATTCACACTCTCCATTCTCCAGCTGCGTCGGCTTAATCAGTCCGACGACGGGGTCGGGTGGCACAGCCTGTTGGCCAAACTGTCGCTCAGTAGCTTAAGTAGTTTCAGCGAAAAACTCCTGAAAAATTGAATCCAACTCGCTGCCACTTGAGCAAACGTTGCCAACTTGTGGAGCGGGTGGCGAGGTGGTGGCGGGGGGCCAGGTCGGATGACAAGTGTAAGGAGCGAACTCTGATATGGTGTGTGGGAGGAAACTGCAAACTGGTTTTCCAATTGTTGTTGTTGGAAAAAATTGGTTGAGCCATCCAAAAGTCGGCGAACTTAAAGCCAATTAAAGCACTTTGTTAGCCAATTAAAATGGCATGCCAACATTTGCTAGGCCCTCCGACCCGGCCCTAAACCAGCGCATATTTGCACGTTGCATAATTGAATCATAGACAAAACGAGTCGAGTCGAGTCGAGTTGAGTCGAGTTGAGTCGAGTTAAGCACTCGCTGGCTCCCTCGCTCTTTGTTACCTGTTTGCTCTCAATTATGCTGCAACGTCAACAGCGGCCAGATTGACTTAATTATGTCAGCCGTATACACACACACACACGCACACGCGCACACCCACTCGACTTGAAAAGGTAAACAAACACGCGTCTAGCAGACTTTTAGGCGACCAGCTCGTGCTGCGCCTTGATTATGCCAAGCAACGAGACAAAACTTTAACAAAACAAACAGAAAATGTGGGTGATAGAGAACAAAAAATGCAAGAATAGTGCAGAAATTATAATTACTAAATAAGGCAGGCACTTGAGACGCGTGTAGAGGAGGGGGAGCAGCAGCAGCAGCAGGAGGAGGAGAGGAGCAGGAGCAGGAGCAGGAGTCATCCAGACAGGACCAACGACAGTCGCCTGCTAAAAACTTCAATGAACAGTTGGCACATGAGAGAAGTCAGCTGGAAACCCGGCCTAATGAGCAGACTAAGCTACAACGAACGACAAGCAAAAAGTTCACAAAACTGAAGTTGAAGTCCTTTGGCGAGGACATAGATTTGTCGGGCGTAGAGGTAGAATCAATGTGGCACATGAAGCGGAAATTTATAATTACAATAGCAGCTAATTGGTACTGCAAATCGAATCGACAAAATTGTCAGATTTCAATTGTCATTTACATTTTCTCATAAAAATATCTTCTCGAATTGAATATTCACTTCGAATGGCAAAACTGTTAATTTTGACACTTGCTTTTAATTTTGCACAGTCAGCCCGCTTTGCAAGAACAAATTAATGACAAAAAACTAAAAACGTTGCAGTCGATCCCTCAACTGTTCTAAAATGGTTAAGATTTCAGGTTTTTATAGTCTCATCCAGGTGCTTTCCAACTTTGACTTGGAGAAGGAGGAGGTATACAACTTTGCAATTTGCTTTGACGGCTGTGGGCGTGGCTGGCTTGATTTTTAACTAAGATCAACACGAGATTAGCCGAAGATTAACCAAATTTATTGACACTCGCTGAAAGTCTGTTCTGAAGTGTCCAAAAATTGACATTAACAAACATATTAGAATACTCTTTTCTTTAATAACAAAGTATTTTAAGAAAATCGAATCTATTCCTCAGAGCGCTTTTATATACCCTTGCAAAGGGTATTATACAATTGTGAAGAAATGTGTCGCGTAAAAAGACATTTTCGATCCCATAGGCAGAAATAATTCCACGATTACTTCAAGTGACATTTCGTCAGAAATATTCATATTTTTTAAAGATAATTTAAAACTTATCATCGGAATGTATTGGACCTTGAGAACTTTTTATGAATGTATAAAGTACAAACAAGCTCATCTTTGTACCCCATTTTTGTGTCTATGATTAGCAAAAAGCAATTAAGCTATCTGAGCAGAGCTAGACTCTCAGGTTTAATGAAAACTGACATACGTCAATCCTTTTTTTTGGCAGGCAGAGTCTGAGTCAATTATCGATCGACTACGTCAATAGCTGAGAATTAAAAGCCAGTGAGTTTTTACTAACCTGGTTTGAACATTGAATGCAATTTTTTTATTTGCCATAAAATCTTACAACGGAATTGTAAGCTGAAAAACAGCCGAGCCTTAAACTATATTTGTTAAAAAAGGTTTTGGTCCAAAAATTATTTTATAAATAATAATATAAATAATACAAATAGTTTTGAATATTATTTAAAATGTATATAAACCAAATTACGTCTAAACTAAAATTGTAATAAAGAAAATTATTCTATGAAAATGGTAGTCTATGTTCTCGAGGTCTTACCTTTTATTCAATTCAATTTGTTTTATCATGCGCTTGAATCCATCAGTATCTTTTGATATCTACCAAGCGAAAGGCTATAAAATAAGGGTATAGTTACAATGTCTTGTAGCTTATATGATATTTACATTGAGGGCTATTTACAATTAAGGGGATTGAGGTAGGTCGCAAGGGTATAACCTTTGGAGGCGCATCCAGGACCCTGGCTAAGACCTAGATTCACAGATGCGGAATAGAAGTTCATGGGCCAAACCTTCGGGCAAGGATCTGGTCATTATTTTGCATTTGCAGTCTACTACTTTTACTTAGTTCTTCGCGACAACTTTCCCAAGCTCAGCATCAAATTGCCTTGGCTGCTTAAAACATGTACTCATATTTTATTTATTAATATATAAGCCCTTGTTTTTAATGTACACTTTTAATCTATGTCAGTGCTGGTTATATTTCTTTTATTTTTATTTTTTATATTTCTATTGCATCACAGATGCCCAGCATTTAAGTGCAACATTTCTTCCGCTAAACTGTTTAATCCGCGTTTTCCCGGAGCGCACACAAAAGCGCGTGCCAGAAAAACGCGATTTTCCAACTGCATTTCCTGCTGCCTTCTGCCGCTCGCAGCTCGTCATGGAGGGCACGTCGCACTCGTAACTCGATGTTAGTCCAAGTCGGGACCAGCAATTATAATGGCGTGTGCCCAACCTGACTAAACATAGAGTTCGGGCAGGATTTCGCAACTTTCCCTCGTTCTCCCTCTCTCTCTCGCTCTCCTTTGATGCGTATGACTAATTTTGTATGGCATACTTTTAGGCGTTATATACATAATTTTCACTTTGAGCGACAAATTAATGGGCGTTAACGCTGCCAGGGCTCACACACACACACACCCCCACACCCACACACACAGCCAATACCCAGCTGCTTTGTCTAGCACTTGTGTGTTGACGAGAAAGGGTTGAGGGCAGGGGCAACTTCCTGTGCTGCTTGCGCTGCGCAGCGGAAGCTGCGGCCAGCGGTTCCACTGGGAGGTGGCTGCCTGCCAGCTGCGTCAAGCGGAAAATTAGGCAACAGCTTGGCGGCCTTTGAATTAATGCACACAAAATCCCACTGAAGGACTGACAGACGGACTGGCATTGCGACTGACACGCCGGACAGATTGACAGACAGACTGACTGACAGCTTAAGCGACTGGCGTCGAGTGCCATTGAAAACACAATTTGGCGGCCAATTGAGGCGCAGAACCGTTCATTAAGCAATCAATTGGCAATTGGCAATTGGCAAACGGCTTGCCACTTGCCACTTGCCACTTGAGTTCTTTTGGCCATTAAACAGCCGTTTTATTTTCTCGCTTTATCTTCTGTGTTCTTTGCAGATCATTCGCGAACGACTTCCCGATTATCCATTGCGCAGCAGCCTCGTCTGGAACTCAGCGCCGGGCGCCCTCCTCACACTGCCCACATTTGCCGATAGTTCTAGGTAAGATTCCATTTTGCCAGGCTGGCAGGCGGAAAGCGCGCCTAATTAAATTTACATTCCACAGCCATTTTGGGGGCGCATTGAAGTGTTTTGCCATTAACCTAATTGCCTTGCCCATTTCAGATTTATGCCCTTTCTGCTCAATGCGATGGGTGTGGAGCCGCGTCACAACTACACGGCCGTTATCTATGTCCAAATTGGCGCCGCCCTCGGCCCCAATGCGGCGCTCTACAAACTAGTCAGGACCATTACGAAGAGCCAATTTGTGGATAGAGTAAGTATCGACATTGGACTTGTCCAAGTAGCACGCAAATTTATAGAGATGGTTAAACTACTAAAGTTCGCAAGTTATACGATGCATCGCTTGGATACGATCTCTAATATTTATTGATAGGGATATGAATGCCTAGAGATGTGCCTAATTATGATATATAACTTTAAGAGAAACTTACGTGAAATTCATAGAGATTTATCTTTTGGTACCATCTCTAAGATGCACTGATAGAAATTAGAGTTCGTTTATATGTGCCTAAAAGTTAAATGAACATCTTTTAGGGAAACTTAAGTAAAATTCATAGAGATGGGTTAGCTGTACAGATAAGTTATCGATGTATCGTTTTGGTACCATCTCCAATATTTATTGAAAAGATCAGAATGCCTAAGGATGTGTCTATAATAATAATAATATTATAAACAGATACCTCAAGGGAAACTCAAGGGATCGATAAACTTCAAAAGTTAATCGATGTATCGGTTTTGGTACCATCTCCAATATTCGTTAATAGGGATTAGATTAGATTAGATTAGCCGAAAGATGGGCATAAAGAAACCTTAATAAATGACCTAAGCGAAATTCATGGAGATGGGTAAACTTCAGAGCTTCACAAGTTAATCGATGTATCTTTTAGTACCATCTCTTATATTCACCAATAGAGATTAACAAAGTTGTAGTAAATAAATCGAATTAACGGTTAATATAAATTTTCAAAATAAACAAACATATTGATTTTTTGCTGCATCATTAGAATTAATTTATAGAGATGGGAAACGTATAAAATCGATATATCGATCTGTTTGCACTTCTACTAACACAATCGAGAATAAATGGAAGAAATTGATGGTTAAGTTAGATTATAATTGAATAACAAGTATTCAAGTGCTGTTCCACACATAAGCTTAAAGAGATAGTTACCTGAATCCGTTTATAAAGTTTACTTCAGTAAATTTAATTTATGTATTTTCCCTTCCTTATTTTCTCATGCAGATACTTGTGCTGTGGGCCGCCGATCGACCGCTGCCACTTAAAAAACGCTGGCCGCCCACCTACCACATACCCCTGCATGTTATTGCGCTGGGGGGCAGCAGTCGGGGGGCGGCAGCGTCGCCGACTGCGCAAACAGGCCAGGAGGCACGACTCAGCATATCACAGCGATTCCTGCCCTACGAGGAGATACAGACAGACGCTGTGCTCTCGCTCGACGAGGATGCCATACTCAATACGGATGAGCTAGACTTTGCCTACACGGTCTGGCGAGACTTTCCGGAACGCATTGTGGGCTATCCGGCGCGAGCGCATTTCTGGGATGACTCCAAGGTGAGCGACGGACAAAAGAAGACTCAAAATATACGAACTGCGGCTGATGAAGTTGTTCATATTTTTCAGAACGCATGGGGCTATACGTCCAAGTGGACGAACTACTACTCGATTGTACTGACAGGGGCGGCGTTTTATCATCGCTACTACAACTACTTGTACACCAATTGGCTGTCGTTGCTGTTATTAAAGACTGTACAGCAGTCCTCCAACTGCGAGGATATCCTAATGAACCTGCTGGTCTCGCACGTGACCAGAAAACCGCCGATCAAGGTGACGCAGCGCAAGGGTTACAAGGACCGGGAGACGGGTCGCTCCCCATGGAATGATCCCGACCATTTCATACAGCGACAGAGTTGCCTCAACACATTCGCAGCGGTATTTGGGTGAGTACATGAGATTCTTGGGAAAAGCGTCTGGGAAAAAGAGTCAAAGGACTCACACTTCCTCTGTGAAAACAGAGGACAGAATGGGGCTTTTCCGATCCCCTTCTATAATTTGTTTTCCCATATATATCAGCATCAGCCGAGTCCATCTAGCCATATCTGCCCCTATTTATCAACTCGTCCAAACAGAGACTTTAAATTTCGATTTTATATTTAAATTTCAATATCGATAACTCGCACCGTGCTCACAAAATCGACATATATCGATATTAAGGAGCTCTCTTCTTTAGAGCGAGACTAACTAAAATTCGACATGTGGGTTTTTGATCAGGAGATTTAATTTTTTGTATACCTTATTATCAAAAATAATGCTACAGTCAACAATCTTGAATATAAAATGATCTAAGCTCCGATGTCCAAAACTTTAAAGCTACAGTCATCATATTTTAATCATACAAAAACCGGTTACCTTCTTGAAAGATTACGCTCCATATATTTTTTCCAGATTCAGACGTCCTGTTCTTTCATAGCTGATATAAAGAAAATACTATATACTACATAAGTTGTTAGTGCTTTTATAAGACGCATATGATACAGTTCTCCGATTTAATTCGGTTTCACAGAGATTCTTGAGATTGTTCAAGATATTAAAAAAAAAAACTTCTTATAAATAAAGACAGACCTCACAGCTTTAATAAAGTAACTGAAAGACGATAAAGTTACATCGTCTCGACTGTTAATATCGATCAGGAATATATATATGCTTTCCGGAGTGGGGACACGTTTCCTTCTTCCTCTTTTCATTCCTTATCAGATTATAGTTCCATTTGTTTTATAAATTGTTTATCTTACTCCTAGGCTTATCATATTTAAAATTCCAATTGGTTTGTTTCTATATTCACAGCTACATGCCGCTCATACGTTCCAACTTGCGCATGGATCCCATGTTGTATCGCGATCCGGTATCCAATTTGCGCAAAAAGTATCGCCAGATCGAGTTGGTTGGCAGCTAGCGATATGTGCAAATTGGCAATAGCTACAAGCGTTAAGAGTACTGAGATTCCCTACCCGCTCACACACACACACACCCACACACATCTATACCACACGCAGACAGCAGTCCGCACACACACCCACAGGCACACAACCAACACACACACACACACACGGACTTCATAAACTGCTGTTCATTGACGCTGCAAAGCGCCGCAAACTATGTTAATTATTATTAGTAGCAAAAATTAGTTAGGATTTATGAAGCGTATATATGTATATGTATGTAACTAAATAGCATTCAGCGTTGCAATTATATATATATATATATTTAGTTATATATTTACAATGCATATTGTACACACACACACACACCGACACACACGCAGACACACAGCAGATTTGTGTATGTATATAGATGAACTCTGATTAGGCCTAGTTAAGTTAAACTCCCTCCCGTGGGAGAACTGAGCAAGCGGAATGCCATTTTTTGCTAATTTCAAATTAGCGCTGCAAGTTTTTGATATATATACGATAAATATAAATATACATATTTGCATATACATACCATATAAATATATATATATGTGTGCATAAGTAGCCGATTTTGTACTGTGTAAAAGCGACGCGTTTGATTTTTGTATGTGTAAATGTTTTGTATGTATGTCTGCCGTATTGTAACTGTAATTGTTGTAACTCAATGATATGATATTGAATCGATATGATATATAAGCGTATATGTATATGTATTTGTATTTGTATAGTTAGCTAGTGTTATTATCGATGTGTGTCTGTAGCCATTCTTACGTTGAAATATTAATGGCAGATGATTAGGCTTAAGCTTGCAAAGATATTCCTTAACGATAATTATTAAAAAACAAAAACTGTGGCCATTATATCGCAATAACAATAATAAAAGATGTAGAAGAAGAAGCTACAAGTGAACGAACTCAACAGCCATGGTACACAATGTGCACAAACAAACCAGAGAGAAGATACATGCATTTTCGGTGTACCGAATATTTAATACCCTTGCAGATATATCAGCTCAATTGGGACTACGTCATGGAAATTTTTATAGGTCATTCTGTTAAAGTCCAATTCAACTCTCAATAATTAAACTTCCAACCAAATAATTGATTGAGTGAGCCAAGTCAAGGCCTAATCGACGACTCAAGTCTCTGCAAGGATATCAAAGTAATTTAATTATATAATAAATGTCTTCGTTTCATTCGTATTTTGTGTATTCCTAATTATTTCTTAACTAAACTATTTCTAGACTATTATATTAAATGTGCAATTTCCATTTTACAGTTCAAGAAAAATGTGTTTCATGAATATTTTAAAAAAGTCTTATTCGGCTATAGCTTTAGCTTAATGCGGCCATTTAATATACGTATGCATATTGTAGCAATCGATTATCAATTATATAATTAATATGAATACGCAAATCCTTAAGCTATACGCTCGCATATCAAGTGCATACATATGACAGATTTCTTACTTTTTTACATTTAATATAATTTACAATAGATGTGTACAAAAGAAAAAGAAGTTGAAAAAAAAACAAAATTGAACACATACATAAATATACATATTTTTACAAAAATATACACGAAACATAAACAAATATTTTGTTTTATTTTCCAGGAAATTCAGTTAGTTTTTCCTTTAGTTTTGATTAATTTTTTGGAATATTTTCGTTTTTGGTACAAACCAAGTGCATAGGGCAATAAGAGTAGAAGACACGAAACTACATATGTAGATAAAATGCAGCAAAATGCAATAATGTTGAGCCTGAACATATCATAAGGGTTTGCTGGCAACGTAGCTGCCTTGGAAGTCAAGAAAGTCGAGGAAGACCTGGAACTGTTGGTAGCTGTGCATCTGCGTAGAACGTTGCCTCAACTCTGGACTGCCGCCAAGCAAATTGTTTAGCATTTATCATTGGAAATGCTTATCTGCAGTACATATACAAATAGAAATACAAACTCGAATGCAATATGCTAAATTTGTATGTAAATTGCAAATGTCTGACAGGGGCACAGAAAGACGGACAGGCACGAATGCAATGAATGCGCCCTATCAGGCATCAGCATGCACATAAATCAAATATTTGAAATATTTTCTGCGTTTACGACTAAATAATAATCAAAAATTCCAGGCTGAGGACATGCATACACAGACACACACACACACACACACACACACACACACACGCACACACACAATTCATAGGAATAGAAGTAAAACTGGAACAAGAATACATAAAAAATAACATAGCTCTATTCAGAAACGAAACAAGAACATTTTTGTACAGTGCGTTTACTTTTTGTATCTGTGTGTAAACTATTTGTATTATACTCGTATTTTGTGCATTTGTATTTGACACAAACCAGAAACAGACTATGTCACTTTTTTATACATATTTAACTAACAAAATATAATGTTTAAAAACAAAACAAAACAAAAATAAACTAAATCTAAAGACAAACAATTGACCAACAAATAACCAAATCTACAATCCTACAACATATACACAACACCCGAAAATACACGCAAAATAATTGAATCGATTTTGAGAAGCCAAAAATATGAAAGCTAAACTTTGAACAAAACACATTTGTGTCCCTCAACAAATAATTAATAATAATAAAAGATATTACATACGCAGCAAAAACATAAAAAAAAAACGTTAATCAACAATATTGCATACCATTACCAAAAAAAAAACTAAAGTAAATGCGAAAATTTAAATGTTGTGATACGATTGACATACTAAAAACTTATTACCAGCAACAAAAAATAGCATATAAAATACTCGTGGAATGTACGTGCTTTCAGTTTTTATCCAGTTTGCGTTTTTTCAATTTATTGCATTTGCATTTTAAAGATAATTGAGCATAATCAATTATTTTGCCACATTTAACAGATGAGGGAAACGCGACGGCAAAAAGCATTTCAATTTTTTATTACTTTGCTTCTTTTTTTTTTCTCTCACTCCTTTGCGCTCTGCATATGCAGATTTAAATTGAATCAGCGCCTGCGTTTAAAGAAATCTGGGAATAAAATACCTTTTTTTAAATAAATGTTTATACGCTTATTTACATGTGAATAGGTTCACTTGGATGCAATTTTTAAACAAGTAAATTAAAGTTTTTGAAGATAAGAGAAGTCAGTTCTGAAATTCTACTCTGTTTATTTAAGATCTGTACTAGAATATAATTTAATTTCTGTCTTTAATTAATAGATGCAGAGAGAGAGATAGAGAGAGAGAGAGAGAGAGAGAGAGAGAGAGAGAGAGAGAGAGAGAGTCTTAATAGCAGACAATAACTTGGATAGGCATAGAATTCTATGTCTATAGTCGTTTTTAATCTATTAAGTTAGAAAAGGTGCTCATCAGGACAGATTCAAGAACTTATTGAGAATGTGCTTAAATTAAAGCAAATCTTATTTATATTTGATTAATTAATTGAACCTATTCACTTGGCCATTTATTGTATATCCAATGAAATTTTGGACACACAAAATGTTTGTGTTATTTGAAAGAATTTCTTTAATTACATATTTTTCTGTAATTTTTTTATATTGACGTTAACGCAGTTGCAATTTGAGGTTTTAATGCCCGATAGAGAAATGCGCCCTTAAGCATGCAACACTTTTTTGCCTTTCCTCTCTCTTTTGCACAAACACACACACAAATACTTGTATTGTATTGTGCAGCTGCTACAAAATGGTAATTAAAGTGAATGTGCTTAAACTATTGCATGGGTAAAGTTGTTAACGCTTAAGGCAAAACGGAGAGAAACATGAATAAGCAGTCCATACTATCGAAACAAAACAGAAACATAAACACAATGTAAATTACATAAATGAAAACTCCAATCTAGTAAGCATAACATATAAATATAACATAATAGTTATTATATTATTGAACAGCAGCTCGCGCCGAAACAGCAAAAGAAAAAACAAAAACAACAAATGTGATTTTTGAATAAAAATTAAATGAAATGAAACTCGATGCCTTTCATTCAATCACTCGCAGGCTTCTGCTGCTGCAGCAGCCCCTCCCATTAGAGAGCTAATGTAGTTTCTATTAACAAGCTAAAAACAACTACAACAACAACAAGAACAGCTCGCCGAGACACTCAACACCTTGGCGAAAGTTTGCGAAACGAATTAGCAAAGTTTTTAGCAAGGAGCACGAAACATGTCGCTGTCCTCTCCGAAAAATAGTTTTTCAAGCAGGTGAGTTGCCGACATACCTTTGCAAGTACACATGTATACGAGTGTTATGCTCACACACACACACACACATATACGTAAATAAACATCTGAAACTTTTACCCAACAATTTCTGCACCTGCAAATTAATAAATTGCATTTCTCCGGCTCCAGCTCCGGCTCCGGCTGCGGCTGCGACGCTTGGCGAAATGCGCCGCCTAAAAGCATGCAATGAAATTTCGCGGTTTTTGCACACTTTTCCATGCAAATACTTACGATAAGGGGGGCAGCGTCCGAGGAAGTGTAATGGCAGATATATGCACACCTTAAATAAAAACCAAATTTGACTCTCATTGAGAACTGTTTGCAAAGAAGCGCTGCAATCAGTGCAATAGATTTACGCATACGAATACGATTTATAAGCTGAACAACTTTGATCCGGGCTGAGATCCCAAGCAAGTGTATGTATGTAGTACAGTCTTAGCCGAAGGCCATAGATCAGAAGGCTATTTTAAATGGGAACGCGGATAGTTATTAAACAATAAATAAATAATAATATCAATTGTTAAACTTTTTTGGAAAACTAATCAATATTTATATATATATATATATTTTTATTATTATTTTATTTTTTTGAAAGCACAAGCCTTTTTATAATAATATTAAAGAATATGATCTGTATTTGAATTATAATGTAATTTAATATCAATTAAATACAATTTATTTTCAACAAATATTAAAGCTAATAGGAAAATTATATATGTAACATGTAAAGGCGCAGGACGAAAAACATTAAGAGCCAGAGTTAATACAAAGTGGTTCTTGAAAATGTTACGATTGCACGAGAATAAAAACTATCTTAAATGGCTCTGGAAGATGAGTCGGAACAAATGAAAGCACAGTAAAAACCGGATAAGGAACCGAACCTCGTAATAGCTGAGTTTATCAAAGATATCACAACCGATAGAGCTCTTTTATATAGTAAACAGATGACTTATATATAAAAAACACTGTGAGAATAATAAATGCCGGGATAAAGAAATCTTGAAAAAAAGAATGTTTTTTGTTTTATGAAGGATTCGTCCTATACAGCTTCATTATATATTGTAGTCCGATGGTGATGAGATTTAACTCATATGTTAGGAGCAAGAAATGACTCGTAAATTTCGTGTTGTGTTTAGATATAAAAAAAGAAGACGTCCGATGTATATAAAATATTTTACACATTTAAGGAGCATAGTGAAATTCAAAAAATTCCGGATACAAGCATGATATCTGATTCTCCTAAAGGAACTTAATTTTTATGAAAAGTAGTATTTAAGTATTCTCTATAACAAGGAGGAATAATATAGTTTGTCGCTACTATTTTTCTTTGATAGTTATTTACTGTGACAAATTATGAAAAGGTAACGACAAAAAAACAACAAAGACAAATGTCTAGTAAAGCTCCGGATAGTAAGCCCTGTTGGCAATGCCGCACAGATTTTGCTTGTTGCGTGCCAACCTCATGTAGCCCTTCTCCCCCCAAGTAGAGCCCAATGAGGTCTTGATTATCCAATAGTCGCCGAAGTTCTTGCAAGTGCCATAGCCCACAATAAGCACAGCAAAATCTGGACTCTGGCCACAATGAGGATTGTGGAACACGCCGCTCTTGTAGTTACTGATTCCAGCCTGTGAAATGACGGCAGCCACCGGGCCCTTGGCCACGTTGATGGCCAATGCGGTTTCATTGCCGGGCCAAACTTGGAAGACCGTTTTGACTTTGGCACCAACAAGCTTCCGTTGGAAGTGACATTTTCCTGTGATTCCGCGGTACGGATAAGAAGCCTCAGTGTCAATGCCTCGCATCTTCTTGATGCAAATCAGAGCTGCCGCCGTCCGTTCGTTGTGCACCCGGCAGCAGTCAACCAGATTCTGCTTGGAAAGGGCAACCAATCTTCCAGATTTAATAAACTGACGACTCTCCACAGCACCAGTCGCAGCGAAGGCCCACGAGTTGTTGAAATGACCCTGATTCACAACAGGAGTGACTGCCCCTATTTGGGTCCAGTTGACTTTTACGGGTATTTGGCGATCAAGGTCCCCAACCTCGTTCAAATAGTCATGGGGCTCAGGCTCCAGGTCTGCAATAGGGTGCACGTCATCGTTTCTTCCAATAACCTTGCTGATCTCCGCGGGCAACATATCGCTGAACTGATTCACACCCATCTCGTAGCTCTCCTCTCCTGCGGCCCAGCGCTCGTTGTGTGCGTCAATGATTTTCTTATTATCCTGAAAGATCAGCATGCGCAGCTGCTCCTCCGCCTCGTCGCCATAGATCTTATCAAACTGGTATTTGAAGTCGTCCCACTCCGTTTCCGGTTGCTCGAAATAGGTTGCTCCGCCCTGCGTGCTGGCGGCAAGTCCCAGAAGGGCTACCATAACAAACGTTGCCTTCATTTTGACCTCAGTGCACTTCTATAGACTAACGACGACTGATGCCTGCCTGCCGCACTGCATCCACTTTTATACCCAGCACTGACCGCATATTGGCAAACGATTCAGACCTCATAAAACCCTAAATAACCTCAGCCCGTATACGTTGCCTAATGCGGGCTGTGGGTCGCGCACCTAAATTTACCACAATACTTGCAATATCAATCTTTAATAAATATACTAAATTGCAATAATAAATATAATAGTTGGATGTAAACTATCACCTGAACTTCATCTTCAAATTGTTATTTTATATTGGAATGAAATTTGAGTAACCAAATATTAAGCTCATGGATATGGAAGCCGAAGTTCGCGAGCCGAATCACAAGTTCATTTCGCGAACTGAACCACAAAACATTTTTATAAGGTTTCTAGGCGTTCTGATAGCATATTTTTGTTTTCAGTGCACATCTCTTGAAAGAGATATAAGGCTAAGATTATAAAGCTCTGGCAGAGGATATAGGATATGAGAAATCAAGTATAAAATTGTCAATCATGTGCAGCAGATCTGAAAGAGACATCCAATTTCTGGCGGTTAAAAACAGTTTGATCATTTTGTGCAAATGTAAAAGGCAAAAGAAGATATTCCCGAATCCATTAAATTTATGTTAATAGTAAACTTTATTTAATATTCTTGATGAGCACAATAAAATGAATTGATATTGCCCATACTATTCGGTCATACATATCACATTCATATGTTTGCAAACTATGTAATATCTCTATATACAAAACTGTGTGTCCTGACTGACTGACTGACTGAATGATTGATTGACTGATTGACTGACTGACTTATTGACTGACTGATTGGTGATCAACGCACAGCCCAAACCGTAAGATGACTGTTACCTTATGTGATGAAGGTGCACGTTAAGACGGGTTTTCGAGAAATTCCAATTTCTTCGTGTTTCAGCGAGTTGACAAATTCCTAAAAATCATTTTTAAAGCTTTTTGAGAAAATTTAATTTATAAGTGCCCAAGGCTGGGTTATACCCGCTAAAGTATATATAAAGTATGAATCTTTTGTTAATACAATACATTTTTCTATTATTATTAACATTTTTTAAAAATATAACATATAAAAATATATAAAAAATATAAAATTATCTAGTTGGATAATTATATAACTGGGTAATGAGCCCTGCTTGCAATTCCGCAGATATTTTTGCTATTGCGCGCCAGCCTCAGATAGCCCTGTTCTCCCCAAGAAGCGCCCATTGAGGTTTTCAGTAGCCAATAGTCTCCATAATTGTCGCTATGCCCATAGCCCACAATGAGCACAGCATAGTCTGGGGACTTGCTGCATTTCGTGTTGTGGAAAACGCCGCTCTTATAGAACCTTAGCGCATCCCGAGAAATCACAGCGGCAACCGGACCGGCAGCGACATTGTTGGCCAGCGCCAATTCATTGGCCCGAGGGCTCTTCAGGTGCTTGCGAATGGTGGCGCCGACGAGCTTCTTATTGAAATGGCAACGGCCAATCGGGCCTATGTAGGGATAGGATGCCTCTGTATCAATGCCGTGCTTCCTCTTAATGCACTTTAGCGCATTCATTGTCCGCTTGTGCTTGGCGCGGCAGCAGTCGACCAGGTTCTGCTTCGACAATTTCACCAATCTTCCAGTTGCCACAAACTTTCTACTCTCCACGGCACCGGCTGCTGCAAAAGCCCACGAGTTGTTAAAGTGGCCCTGGTGCTGCACAGGTGTGACAGCGCCCAATGTCCGCCAGTCGACGTCAAATGGGTGCGACCCGGAGTCGAGGTCGGCAACATTCTCATCGGAGGTGTCTTCGTCAAACGGTTCCTCATCATCGGGGCTGCCGTCGTTTCCAGTAATTAGCTCATTAAACTCCTTTTCCAACAAATCGGTAAAGTGATTGACCCCCATCTCGTAGCTCTCCTCTCCTGCGGCCCAGCGTTCATTGTGTGCGTCAATAATCCGCTTGTTATCCTGGAATACCTGCATACGAAGACGATCCTCCGACTCAACTTCGTAATTCTTGTTGAATTCCAATTTGAAAGAGTCCCACTCTGCTGCCCGCACATCAGCGAGACTTATCCCAGCCAGGACGTAGCCCATTATCCCAAGAAGGGCCACAAGTACGAGCGATGCCTTCATTATGCTCAAGAACGACTGTTGCCCGATTTATCGCGTACTTTCACTTATATAGCCAGTATTCTCGGCTCATGATAAGCCATGATTCAGCTTCGATAATGTTTTAAACTAATTGCAGCCTAACCCGCATGCCCCTGAATGCATGCCCAGAGTTTTGTATTGCAAATATCATCACCGCAAACTACTTTCCAATATATGTCGGACTTATTATATATGGGCACGATCGATCTACCCGACCTTAAACACCGTTCAGTCATACAACAACTCTCTGTCTTCTTAGAACATTTGCCAGATATTTTTGAGGCAAATCAAAAATCTCCTAAATTACATAAAGGTTCCTATACTTACTAAGCATACCCCAAATGCAAAGATCTACTGACTAACCCCTAGTACTTAACCTAATGGGTTAGTACATTATCTAACCACATTAAATATGTGTATATATTTAATATATATTTACAAGCTGTAGTCAAGCTTAGGGGAACGTTTATTATTATTAACAAGGCTCTTGTCGGGAGTTCCCAACTAGGGCATACTTTAAACCCTCTTTTAGCAGCAATAAAAAAACATTACCTTTTTTACCCAATTTTAATGGGTGGGGTTCAGTATAGAAAGCCGATTATAATTACTAATTTGTAGTTTAAGCCGCTAATTTCTTAATATATGGTGATTTATTCAAGATCAAAGTTTGATTCTCTGTCTAAAATTGAAACTGTAAAGAAACAGTTGAAAGCTAAGTACTGAAATAAAACCAATTATGTGAAGCTCAGACACATTTTTTAATAAATATATAATAATATTTGTCATGAATAACCAAATATTAAATAGATTTTCTGTATTTCAAAGCCAATAAACTACAGTTCCCTTTGAAAATATAGCATTATAAATAATATAAATAAAAAACTATTTCTAATAAATATTGGTATTTATTCTATATCCCATACGTTTTACCAAGAATTCGTTTTTAGGTTTTTGAAAAATATTATTTTATTTCCTATACAAATGCAGTTTTTTTTTCGGATTCTGTGTGCTCTTGTTGGGGACTAAAGCTTTAACATTTTCGTCACAATCACTTCACCAGAGCGACCTCTGGCGGTCACTTCTGTTTGCATGGTTGCTTGCTGTTGGCATTATCAAGGGCGCGCGGCAGCTGTTGTGCATATGTTAAGTTTTTGTTAGTTTATTTCGTTCGTTGCTGGGGAAGGGGTGAGGTCCATAGAAGCACTTCCCCTCCGCTTGCCGGCTGCACTTGCTGCTTAGCTAAAAATGGGCAATGCGTCGCTTATGTTTTCAGTTCTTTTTCAACTACAATTTTTGCATTAATTAGAAAGAGTGCGTGTAAAACATGCACAGCTACATATCCACCCTTTCCCCCCCCCCCCTTCCCCGCAACCCCTCGCAGTCCAGAAGATGGTTGAGTGCAAGTGTGGTTAGCTGCATAAACAAAATGTCTGCCACATTGTTTCTCTACTGCGCCGTTAAATTAGGCTTAAGGCAGCAACAACAACAAACAACTAAAACTTTACACATTGCTTTGTTAAATATTTTTGCACAAATTGCTGGCACTGTTGTTGTTCTTGCTAATTACATAATTATATTATGCGCAGAACTTTGTTGTATTCAGTCTTTTGTTGTTGTTCTTATTGCAACTGCAAATGTGTTTGGCATATTCAAATGGAAAATAATTTTAGCTCGCTTACAATAAATATAATTAAATTTGGTTAAATGTTAAAGAATCAACTAACTAAACTACTATTACAAATAAAAATTAATTTAACAATTTGGAAATTTAGAAAATATCTGACTGCGTATTTAAACGAGGTCTTTAATCAAAGCACAAGCTTACAAAGCATTCCACAGATACTAAGGGGAAAGTGTCAAGAATGGGAGAACTATCGTCTATTATTTCTAAATTGTGATGTACGTATCTGCATAAAGACACACATTTTGATGTGTATCTACTGAGGACAGGGCACGCCCATGGCTTGTCGCATTGAGTTCGAAACTTTCAGGAACGGCACAGCCACAACTTAAATTGTTTCGAAGTGTTGACAAATTGTTGGCAAAACCAAAAATAAGAATATGCCTGTGTAGAATCTAAAGCTGCACAAAATATTTTCACTTTAGTGCGTTTCAAGTGTGCATAGCAAAAAATGTATACATATAAAAATAAATAAATAAAACGAACTAAAAACACAAGCACAAAAATGAATTCCAAGCATTGTTGAAATATATAAATCAAAATTGAATTACGAGTGTACAAGAGCTCAGCCATCCAAGCAACCATGCAGCCCCCTTTCCCCCTTCAGTACTGCACCCCCTTTACCCGTCGCCACCCATGGAAGGCAAATACTGCTTTTGCAAGGGCAAAAACAAGCTTCAAGCTTTTTATAGTCAGAGCGCATAATCGAAATATCAACTATGTCTACTGCAGAAATAATAATAACAGCCAGCAATTGGCTTTTATTGAACTGAAATATTATAAAGAAGTTTTCAATATGCTCCGGCAACACTTAAACGGTAAACCCTATCAAAAATCATGGACATTTTCATAAGCCAAAAGTTTCCTGAGCTCCTGCCCCTCTAACAGCCTTTCGAGCATTTATTTCAGTTGTCAATTTCGTTATGTTTGTTATTATTACTGCCAAAATTGTTCAATTGTAGCTTTGAATATTTGCATTGGTTTTTGACCGGCCTTTTCGATTTCTAGTTCTCCAGTTGCATCAAGTGCCTTAAGTGTTTTGGCTAACCTCAAAATGTCAAAATGTTTTTATGACGAATTTATTGAAAATGTTGCGGGACCAAAAGCCAAATGTCAAAACTGTGTGCAACAACGCACAACAGCTTTGGGCGACAACTAAATTGGCCAACAACGACAACGAAACGAACAAACTGACAGCTTAATTTGCTTTGGCTTCCTCACAGTTCGAACCATTTTGACAATTCTGCAAATTGTAATGCAAACTATTTAGATTAAAGATTAAGTGATACTTACTATATATACATATGTATGTATTTGTTTAAATCTAAATATTGCAGATTGTTATTTCATAAGTCAACAGCGTTCAAGGCCTGAGCCATAGTCAGTTGGCAAACATATTTCAAAAGGCCTTCAATATTGTGTTTTGAGCCATAGAGAAATCCCAATTTGTTTACTCACACACACATACACACGCACACACACACACGCGCGTACAGAGATTGACCCATTCACAAAACTAGGCCGCAACTGCAATTCACAATAATCGAAGTCCAGCGCCGAACCTACGCCTACATTTACCAGGCATAAATTGATTAAGCAGGCAGAGAGAACGAACGAAGGAGAAAGACAGAGAGGGAGAGAGAAAGAAACGCAGAGTGTGTGGCGTGGCGAGAGTTATAGAGTGACAGGGATAGACATAGTGAAGTTCTGCCAAATGGTAATTTAAATGTATATTTTGTGGCCCCATTATTAACGCAAAATATTGCATCGCCTCCCGCCTCCCGCCTCCCGCCTCTTGGCTTAGCAATTTTCACGCAGCATCTGCCGTGGCAGAAAATTACTCTTAAAACTAATTAAAATAAATGTGCGTGAGCCAATAACAGCACAAGTCTCTATGACAACATAGATGTTAATTATGAGCATTGCCCACAGCCGCACCGCACTGCCGCTGCCAGCGCTGATCTCCAACTCCGAATCGCCGGCGGCGTGCGCTGACCGGAACTGCGCTTCGTCTAACAGAACCAGCAAAAACAACCACCAGCAGAGCCAGCTGCTGGCCACATTGGCCGGGAATTAAACCAACATTATGGTACATTATCTGCTGCAAGCCAAAAGCTGCGATTCCTCCATTTAACTGTCCGCGGAGTAGGTGCACAGCCGACTGTCTGTCGCAGGCTGTGAAGCGTAGGAATATTTACATTCTGCACATAAAAAAAAAAAATAATATCAAATAACAAGAACGAGGGCAATATCAAGAGTAAGGTAAATAAATAAATAACAAAAATTATTGGTAAACAAAATGTTAGCTTATTTCACTTGCACTTCGAAGAGACCACGCATCCATTCTGGAGTATAGAGTGATAGGCGCAATTACCCGGCTTTGTCCGACCAAGATCTTTCTTCTAATTGTTCGGTAGTGTGCCCAACACTTCACATAGAGCTTTGTGTGGTGAAATCGATTTATTTTTTAAATGTAGAGCATTGAAGCTTGAAGCGATCAGGAAAAAAATATCTTTCGCCTGAATATCGGTTATTTTTCGACCTAAAGGATTGGATTTTCCAATAATATTTGGATTTCACTTTTCTATTTTTATGTATTGAATACTTAGGTTGGCACTCATTTGTCTATCAATAATAAATTAATAACAAAATAATTAGTAATAAACTAAAAGCTCTTAACAAATAATCATCTTTATAAATTTATTCAACAATTGCCAAACACTTTAAGCAACCTTCGGCCATAGATTTAGTATGGCATACTCCAGAGTGAACGCGTGTAACAATTGACGCTGTTTTGGGCTCAAAGTTATAGGTTCAGGTCCAGTTTGCCGTGAGTAAAGCTCGCAATGTATTTACGTATAAACAACAATCAGCCCTGTTAACAACCTACCTGTTGTTGGGTGTTTTGGTGTTGCTGGCGTTTTGATCTCGTGAATGCATGAATGATTCCTGGGCGCACAGAACACAAACAGCATTAACAATAATGACACCAGAAAACAATTGAAATAATTCTAGCAGAAAGTTTTAGTCAACTTTTTCATGAGCGGGTACATATTTTTATTTTAGTTTTCGTACCAGCGTCAAGGAGTCTATGTGGAAAATTGCAGCGGAAAAAAGGAAAAGAACCAAAAATAAATGCAGCCTATTATGTGCTAGAAAGTGAGAGGCTTTCAAAAGATGCAAATGTTTCGAATTTTTAACTGGCTGATTTTGAATGTTTGGCTCAGCTTCTATATCTGTTGGGCCCAACAAACGCATATTAAACTGGAGCAGGGCGATCTAATTGGTGTAAATATGCACTAACCCGTGAAAAGATTACAACAAATTAAATTGTGTACTTCGGTTCCAGCTCAAGGTCTTTCCGGATGGAGCACGCAGCGCAGTCTACGCCTTCCTGGGAATACCCTATGCACAACCACCTTTGGGCTCACTGCGTTTTGCGGTAAGTTAACCATGTTCCGCAACGGAACCTTTCTCAGTACCCAACTGTTAAACAGTTCAACTGGGACACCCAACATATATTTGTATATCTTAAGGGGTAACAGGTGTATCAAGTTTCTATGAAAATATTTGTGACAAGTAAAAGGAAACATCTTAGCATGTTCTTTTTTTGTCTGTACGTTTGTGAATCTCGGAAACTACGAAAACTAGACTCTTGAAATTTGATATATACTATATTCTTATGATATATTTTGATAAATCATAAGAATATACTCTATATATCAAATTTCAAGAGTCTAGTTTGGCAGAACGAACTCATCATTTTTCCAGATATCTTCTCCCACTATCATAATATCGATAAATATCGATTGTGAGATTCGGCTTTTTAGGAATACCTCTATATTTATATGACCTAGATACACCAAGCATGTTATGTAGGTTCTCGTATGGTATACACAGATCTAGATATATTCATATTCCATATTCCAAAATTTTAATGAACACATTATCCAAATAAGAGCGTCACGCTTTGGTAAACACACTTGGCTGTCATATTTGGGGTCTGAACATTTCAGAAAGATCGGACTATAAGATACGCATTTGCAATAGAGTAGGGCATAAGAAAGAAAAAGCTCACTCAAGATATGCTTTGTAGTAGCTTAAAAATCTTGAGAAATGTAAGCTTTTATCTAAAAATTTTCCAATCTTACCTTCCCTTAGCCTGCCCAGCCACACAACGGCTGGAACCGGACGCTTCAGGCCACGGCAATGCAGCCCATTTGCCCACAGCTGTCGAATACCATCTACGATGAGAGCGCCGATGGCAGCATATCACGTGCTGCTCCCAACAATGAGGATTGTCTCTACCTGAACATCTGGACACCTGAGACGGGCTTGCGTTACGGCCAACTGCCTATGCTGGTCATAATTAGCGGTGAGGATTTCGCCTACGACTGGTCGCGTAATCGCATCAACGGTCTGGACTTTGCCGCTGCCGAGAGCGTGGTTGTGGTCAGCGTGCAATATCGCAGCAACATATATGGCTGGCTGGGACTGGGCCAAGATCACCGCCAGCTGCCGGGCAACTATGGATTGAGTGATATCCAACTGGCGCTGCGTTGGCTCCAACGCAATGCCCAAAGTTTCGGTGGCAATGCCGATCAGCTGACGCTGCTCGGTCATGGAAGCGGTGCCATCCTGGCCCTGGCTGCCGCCCTGCAACCGGCTGATGGCGCTTCGCTGTTCAAGCAGCTGATACTGATGTCGCCGGGCCCGGTTCTGTACGCCTTGGGTGCTGGCCATCAGCAGCGCATTGTGGCAACCGGACGTGTACTCGTGCACAAGCTGGGCTGTCAGTTCGAGGAGGCACAACACCGCCAGCTGCTGAGTTGCCTGCGCCGCAAGAGCGCCGAGGATCTGCTGCGCGCCTATGAAAGTGTCTACAATCACGGCAATGCCAGCATGCAGCTGGGCGTGCAGCTAAGCTACCCTGGCGACCTGGAGCAGCACCTGGCTAATGTGTCGCTCCCGCCGCTGCTGCTGGGCATTGGCTCCAATGAGGGTGCCTTCATGCAGGACTATTGGCTGGACGTGGCGCGTGACGGTCACCTGGCCCTGCACGGCTATATCAACAGCACCCTGTTGCCAAATGTGCTTCGCTCCATGCAGCTCGAGGAGCAGGCGGGTGCAAGCGAGGCTCAATTGGCGGCCATACGTTGGCGCTACTTTAGCGACGAGGCTTCGGCTTCGGTCAGTCAATTGCTGTGGGGCATGCAGCGGCTGCTGTCCGAGTCGCTGTACGAGACGCCCTTCCTGCGCCTGCTGCAGCTGCTCAATGACAGCAGCAGCCCAAGCTATGCCTATGTCTTTGATCAGTCGCATGCTCATGCGATGGACATGCGCGGCAGACAGAATCTGTTTGGCGGCGCCTCACATAGTGCGGATTTGCCGCTGCTGCTCGGTCCGAGTCTATTTCAACAGATTGCGCGTCGTCGTTTTAGCGTCGAGGAGGAGCAGCTGTGCCGCAAGCTACGCGGCTCGTTTGCCAACTTTGTGAAAGGCGGCAATCCGACGCCGGGACGCATTTATGATGCCTGGCAGCCGTACACGCCACAGCGTACCTTTGTCTACGCATTGGGTGAGCTGGCCAAGAGCTTGGAGCTGCCAGCTGGCGTTGATGAGGCGCTCATTGAACAGCTGCTAAGTGGCAAACAGCAGACGGATGTCGGCTCGGATCGCAGCTTGTCCAGAACTAATCGGCATGACAGCTATCGACAGGGGAACAGCAATTCGTATGTGGCCAACAACCAGCTGGATTCCGGCTATGGCAATCACTTGCGACGCGTTTACGGCTTTTGGCAGGTGCTGCTGCCCACAGCACAAGACGCAGAGCTGCGCGATGGCAGCGGTGGTGTCTTGAGGCAGCGTGTTAAGCTTTTGGAGGCTAATGCTGATGCTGCACGCTATCGGCAGGGTTTTTATGCCATGCTGGGCCTTGTTTGCCTGCTGCTGGCGTGTCTAGGCTTGTGTGTCTATCTGTTGCGTCGCGAGCTGCCCCACAGCAGACGCATCTCATCAGCGGAGCCGTCCTATGGTTTATGACAAAAGTGGTTTCGTTGGACGACCATCTTTGGACGCAACGCCAAGTTTGAGGCCGACACAAGCGTGGCCAATGTCGAGTCCTGGCGCAAAGGTGGTCGAACAGCGAAACGAGAACAGGACCCAGCACCAAGTAGTCGGACGCGACGTCCAAGACAACTGCAGCCGTACGATGAGCAGCCAAAGGGCAACAAGGCTGCAAACACTGCCCGAGGAACCGGAGCTAGAGCTGGAACAAGAGATGGCTGCGGTGACGGAGCAACCGCAGTTGGAGATGAGGCAACTGTTGCGGAACTCCTGGACACTGTCCGCAACCAATACGAGCAAAATATGGCTTTTAAGAACTGGCAATACCAGTTGACTTGTGATAAGTTCTAAGCATAACCAAAGAATCTATTTGAAGTTGTACATTTCGTATATACGTATTTACCTTTTTCTTTGTTTTATTAAAAACTTCGAAATGTTTATTTTCAAAATTTAATAATTCGCGCCTTTTGTTGTGTGAAACAGCCCTGTTCGCTGCACCTTGGTATCGATATATCGCATATTCTCGATACTTTCGTTACTCTTATCGATAAGTTTGCTGTTTTTTTAAAACACGTGCAACACATTGCTGCTTCACGGCACCTTATTTTATTAAACATTTCAACATAATCGCATTAAAATGGGTTCGAGAAGGCCCCCAGACGTGCACATGTTTCCCTCGGACCTGGAGTTCGCCGTGTTTACCCCCGAGGAGATACGAAAACTGAGTGTGGTGAAAGTCATAACCGGCCTCACATTTGATGCGCTGGGGCACCCAATACCTGGTGGTCTATATGACATACGTTTGGGATCCTACGGACGATGCACGGATCCCTGTGGGACATGCCTAAAGATGCAAGATTGTCCCGGCCATATGGGCCATATTGAGCTGGGCTCACTGGTCTACAACCCGTTTTTTATCAAACTGGTGCAACGTTTACTCTGCATATTTTGTCTACACTGTTACAAGCTTCAGATGAAGGGTGAGTAGTTGTACACAAAGTAATTTAAGTCACTTCAATACCATTAACCATCAACAGATCATGAGAGCGAAATTGTTATGCTGCAGCTGCGGCTTATTGACGCCGGTTACATTATTGAAGCGCAAGAGCTGGAGCTATTTAAATCAGAAATTGCCTGCCAGAATACAGAGGAGCTGGTTAAGATGGATAACGGCGACGCCGTACATCCACACATTGCTTCGGTCAACGAGCTGCTGGCCAGGAATACGAGCAATGCCAGCAATGTGACCAAAACAAGCTGCTCTTTGCGTACAGCCATTACGCACGCGGCTCTGCAGCGAGCCTCCAGCAAGAAATGCAGGCATTGCAACAAGTCCATGCGATTTGTGCGCTATTTGCACCGCCGACTTGTCTATTATGTGACCATTGCCGATTTGAAGGAACGGTGAGTATGTGGCTATAGTTTCCATTAACATGTTTGACTTTCGATTTCCCTTGATTTTCTAGGTTGGGTGATGTGCCCGAGAACAGTGGTCAAAACAAGGTCATATTTGCGGATGAATGCCGACGCTATCTGCGAAAGATATACGAAAATTATCCCCAGCTGCTAAGGCTATTGGTGCCTGTGCTGAACATGAACAGCAAGGTAAGCGTTACCGGTGACTGCTCGCCAGTGGATATCTTTTTTATGGACACAATACCAGTTACGCCCCCGCGTGCACGTCCCATGAATGTTATTAACGACATGATGAAGGGCAATCCGCAAACGGACATATATGTGAACATTATCGAGAATAATCATGTGCTCAATGTAGTGCTAAAGTTTATGAAGGGCCAGCAGGAGAAACTTAGCGAGCAGGCAAAAGCTGCCTATCAAAACATGCGCGGTGCCAACAGCCACGAGAAGCTCTACAATGCATGGCTGGCACTGCAGAGCTCCGTAGATGTGTTGCTTGATGTAAACATGTCGCGAGACATCAAATCCGCCGAGGGCCTTAAGCAGGTGCTCGAAAAGAAGGAGGGTCTCATACGCAAGCACATGATGGGCAAACGTGTTAATTACGCAGCACGTACTGTCATCACGCCCGATCCCAACATCGATGTAGATGAGATTGGCATACCGGACATATTTGCGCGCAAACTCTCTTATCCGGTACCTGTGACTGAATGGAATGTCATCGAGTTGCGTAAAATGGTCATGAATGGGCCAGAAGTGCACCCGGGCGCCAACTACATACAGGACAGCAAAGGGTTGACCACTTTTATACCCGCCGACAATGCGGCCAAACGAGCCAGCATGGCTAAGCTGTTGCTGTCCAATCCCAAGGACGGCGTCAAGATTGTGCATCGCCATGTTCTTAATGGTGATGTACTGCTGCTCAACCGTCAGCCTTCGCTGCACAAGCCATCCATAATGGCGCATAAGGCGCGCATATTGCACGGCGAGAAAACGTTTCGCCTGCACTACTCCAATTGCAAGGCGTACAATGCCGATTTTGATGGTGACGAGATGAATGCGCACTATCCACAGAGCGAAGTGGCACGTTCCGAGGCCTATAATCTTGTCAATGTGGCCAGCAATTATCTGGTGCCCAAGGATGGTACTCCACTTGGTGGCCTTATACAGGATCAGGTTATTTCGGGCGTCAAGCTGTCCATACGCGGTCGCTTCTTCAATCGCGAGGACTATCAGCAGTTGGTTTTCCAGGGTCTGTCGCATCTTAAAGGCGACGTCAAGTTGCTGCCACCGACTATACTAAAGCCCGCAACGTTGTGGTCTGGCAAGCAAGTGCTCTCGACCATAATCATTAATCTGATACCGGATGGCTATGAGCACATCAACTTAGATTCCTTTGCCAAAATAGGCGGCAAGGTAAGTAAAGACATCTCAGAGTCCCCTGTGAATCATTAACTAACTCCGTAACGCTTTGCAGAATTGGAATGTGGCTAAGCCACGTACACCGCTGTGTGGCTCGAATCCGCTGGAGCAGGAGCTGAGTGAGAGTCAAGTGCAAATACGTAAGGGCGAGCTTCTGGTGGGTGTTCTGGACAAGCAGCAGTATGGCGCCACCACTTTTGGCCTCATTCACTGCATGTACGAGCTGTATGGCGGCGACGTGTCCACGCGCCTACTAACCGCCTTTACCAAGGTGTTTACATTTTTCCTGCAACTCGAGGGCTTTACGTTGGGTGTCAAGGACATTTTGGTCACCGACGAGGCAGATCGCAGGCGTCGAAAAATCATCCGGGAGTGTCGGGATGTGGGCAACAGCGCCGTTGCCGCTGCTTTGGAGCTGGAGGATGTGCCCCCGCACGATGTATTGGCCGAACAAATGGAGGCCGCCTATGTTAAGGACTCCAAGTTTCGAGTTCTACTCGATCGCAAATACAAATCACTATTGGATGGCTACACAAATGACATTAATAAGTAAGTAGCTTAACAACCAAAAATGTATTTATCTACAGATGCTTCCTTTCTTTATAGAACTTGCCTGCCAGGCGGTCTCATCACCAAGTTTCCATCAAACAATCTGCAGTTAATGGTGTTGTCTGGCGCCAAAGGCTCTATGGTTAACACCATGCAAATCTCCTGCCTGCTTGGCCAAATCGAGCTGGAAGGCAAGCGACCGCCGTTGATGATATCTGGAAAATCGCTTCCCAGTTTTACCTCTTTTGAGACATCGCCAAAGTCGGGCGGCTTTATTGATGGTCGCTTTATGACAGGCATACAGCCGCAGGACTTTTTCTTTCACTGCATGGCTGGTCGTGAAGTAAGCCTTAAATTTTGACATAAAAGATTCTATTTGGATTAACAACTCGTTATACTTCACAACAGGGTCTCATCGATACTGCTGTAAAGACATCCCGTTCCGGTTATCTACAGCGCTGTCTTATCAAGCACTTGGAGGGATTAAGCGTTCACTATGACCTGACTGTGCGCGACAGTGACAATAGTGTGGTGCAGTTTCTGTACGGCGAGGACGGCTTGGACATACTTAAGTCCAAGTTCTTTAACGGAAAATTCTGCGCTGATTTTCTTGCACAAAACGCAAAGGCCGTTCTACGGCCCAGCCAACTGCAGTTGATGAAGGACGAGGAGTGCCTCGCCAAGGTACTGCGCCATGAGAAACACATACGTAGCTGGCAGAAGAAACAGCCTGCCAAATTGCATGCAGCTTTCACTCACTTTTCGGAGGAGCTTCGAAACGAAGTGGAAGTTAAGCGACCCAATGAGATAAATACCAAGACGGGACGCCGGCGCTTCGACGAGGGCCTGCTCAAACTGTGGAAGAAGGCCGATGCCGAGGACAAAGCACTGTACCGCAAGAAATATGCACGCTGTCCTGATCCCACCGTGGCCGTATACAAGCAGGATAATTATTACGGTGCTGTTTCTGAGCGCACGCGTCAATTGATCGATGACTATGCGCTCAAGCATCCGTCACAGAAACAAATCATAGCAGATATAATGCACATGAAGAGCATCAAGTCGTTGGCCTCCCCCGGCGAACCAGTTGGTCTAATTGCAGCCCAGTCGATCGGTGAACCATCCACCCAGATGACATTGAATACCTTCCATTTTGCTGGTCGTGGTGAAATGAACGTCACTCTAGGAATACCTCGCTTACGGGAAATTCTAATGCTAGCCTCCTCTAATATCAAGACCCCATCAATGGACATACCCATCAAGCCGGGACAGCAGCATAATGCGGAGAAGTTGCGCATTTCCCTCAACTGTGTTACCTTGGCCAGTCTGCTGGAATGTAAGTTACATATTTATACAGAACTAGCTTTATGTATATTCTGGTCTATCACCACATAGCCGTGCACATCAGCACAAGCTTGACGATGGAACCGGAACGCGCGTATGTCTATGACTTGCACTTTAAGTTCCTACCACGCGAGAACTACAAGGAGGATTACAGTGTGAGGCCCAAGCGTATTATCAAATACATGCATCAGACATACTTCAAGCAGCTCATTCGCGCTATTATAAAGGTGTCCAACGCCAAGAAGACTTCCAAAATGTAAATACACAATTGATATCATCCAAAGTGAATACTTAGCTTAATTTATTCTACAGCGTCGTGGTAGATGAGAAAAAGGAGTCTGGCAACAAGCACGACGAGGACAATGATCAAGAGTTGGATGCTGCCGATGACGTGGGCGCACAAAAGGCTCAAGACAATGATGACGACTCCTCAGATGACGGCGTAAGTTAAATATTCCGTAACAATTACAACAATAATTTGATTCTAATTTATCTGAAAAAGGGGGACGATGACGCGACTGGGATTAAACTCAAGCAGCGCAAAACCGACGAAAAGGACTATGACGATCCGGATGATGTTGAGGAAATAATTGATGCCAATGGTAAACGGGATTTAATCATTTTAATTCAATTGACTAACCTTTAAAACTTGGGGCTTTTAGACGATGAAGAAGAGCCCGATGAAGAGGACGCATACGGCAATGAACCGGCAAACGACGAAAATGCCGAGGTGGACGATAAGTCAGTGGAAAAGCTACTTAGCAACCAAATGGTTCAAGATTACACCTACGACAAGGAGCATCATCTTTGGTGCAGAGTTAAACTCAATCTGAGCGTACGCTACCAGAAGCCCGATCTGACATCCATAATACGCGAACTGGCCGCCAAGAGCATTGTACATCAGGTGCCGCATATTAAGCGCGCCATTATCTATAAGGGCAATGACGATGAGCAGTTGCTGAAAACAGATGGCATCAATATTGGTGAAATGTTCCAACACAACAAAATCTTGGACCTGAATCGTTTGTACTCCAACGATATACATGCTATAGCTCGCACATATGGCATCGAAGCTGCGAACCAGGTCATTGTCAAGGAAGTGAGCAATGTGTTCAAGGTTTATGGAATTACAGTGGATCGACGCCATTTGTCACTGATTGCCGACTACATGACCTTTGACGGCACTTTCCAGCCGCTCTCACGCAAAGGCATGGAGCACTCCTCTTCGCCGTTGCAGCAAATGTCCTTTGAATCCAGCTTGCAGTTTCTGCGCAGCGCGGCTGGCTTTGGACGCCCCGACGAGCTGAATTCGCCATCAAGTCGCTTGATGGTAGGCCTGCCTGTAAGAAATGGCACAGGCGCTTTTGAGTTGTTAACGAAAATTTGTTAATTACCACAATTTTGTTTTAATAAATACGCGCTCCTTTTCGAAGCCAAGTATCGATATTCTTAACTTGAAAGCAGTATCTATCGATTAATTAAGCAACAGCTGATGCGATGTGCTCATTTTGGCCACCTCTAACTGTCAGCTGGTTTACCATTAGTTTGTTTGTGACAGAAAAATAAAAAGCTAGTATAAAATGTTGACTTCAATGGTGAAGGAGCATCATGCTAAGCAATCAAAGCGCAAGCAAGAGCAAGAAGTGCGTCGCAAAGAAGCCATTGAAGCCTCCAACGAGCTTACACAATCGCTAGTTGATCACTTGAATGTGGGGTAAGTTTAATTTTCAGTACCTGTATTAACGCACAAAGACTACACAATCTAAAAAATAGTGTGGCCCAAGCATATTTAAATCAAAAACGATTGGATGTAGAGGCCAAACAGTTGCATGTTGGTGCCACAAACTTTGCCAAACAGACGCATCAATGGCTACAATTGATTGACAACTTCAGCAGCGCATTAAAGGAACTTGGAGATGTGGAGAACTGGGCTCGCAGTATAGAAGGCGACATGCAAGTTGTACAGCAGACCCTGGAGCTTGCCTACAAGACGTCGCGGGCAACGCAGGTGACAACAGGTGCTACAACATCTGCAGCAGCAGCCCCCTCAAAATGCTCAGCACCAGCAGCAGCCAATCCAAATTGAAGACAATTTAGTCATGTGTATTAATACAAGCGACCCTAAAATGTTGTGTAAAAAGACCCGCTGAATTAAGGCAACATGAGCTGATTTGTTTAAAGTAGTTTATTTTATTGTACAATTACTATCTAAAATACACAGTGCAGGTAAAATGTACACTTTGCTGATTCGGTTGCGTTGGCCCACAACTGCATTTAAATACATATTACACGTTAAGCACATTTAAGATGTTACTTTTTTATACTAAAACGTACAACTGGGTTAGTTTAGTTAGTTTATTGTTATCAATTTACGCTGTTGCTTTTAAAATACATATCACAAAGTGTGTTACGCGTGTTGAAGGAGAGGATGAGACGCGTAATATACACGGATGCTCTCTTTGTGGTTAAACTACATTTTACAAAACGTACGAGGGTGCAACATAAACGATATTGTCGAACTATCAACTAATTATGGTAAGGCGTGATGAAAACTATATAATGATGATTATACAGGCGCTGCCAAACAGTATATGGGATATGGGCAGGGATTTTATAACAAAACAATTCAGTCTATATCCTCGTGCTGAGCCTTTGCATTTGTTGTGCAGTTGGCACCTCCACACATAATTGTGGCACACTAGTAACGCGATGGAACCCGGGCAGCTGAGAAAGAATAAGAACAAATATCAATATCATTTTCAAAAACGATGTCTGCCTACTTACGCTTGCGTGGTGAGCGTGAACGGGAATAGCTGCGAGTGCGACTGCGGCTACGTTCGTAGCGATGACGGCTGCGATATTTACGACGATTGGAATCGTATGGTGATACTGACGACGATTCGTCACGGTGGCGGCGACGCGAACGAGAGGTGTCTCGAGTGCTATGGTCACGCTCACGAGAGCGTCTACCCGAAGGGCTGTAACATATTCATCTTAAGAACAAACATTTATTCTAAAGCAATCTACAACAAACCGTGATGGGCGTCCCATGTACACACCAGGTGTGGGCGTGTGCGCGCGCTGCGTTATGGAGTAATCGACGCGTATACGGCGACCATCTACCTCCATTCCAGTGCAGGCATCCTTAGCTACCCGTGCATCACTGAGATTCTCAAAGTATATGAAGCAAAAGCCCCGAGAGCGATGGGTCTGCAAGAATTATAATTGGATAATTCACAGTAAATAGTCGACTAAGCCATGCTCAGTTCTCGGTTAAATATTCTTATTAGATTAAGTCTTAAATTATGCTATTGATAACTGACTTTATCTTTAGCAAACAACAGTAGTTTATAGTATATATTGCAATAGCTGAGAAAAAATTGAGACAGACTAGATAGACAGGGCACAAAACTTTCATTCACTTCGTGAACAAAGTATATAAAAATTTAACTTTAGATGTTGCAGCAAGCCTTTAGTGGGTTGCTAGTAACTTGCATATCAGGCACTCATTATTGCTGCATTTAAATATACTATTGCCAAAAGTCAGTACGCAACTAGCACAAGCTAATGTCCAAGATACAAACTGACCAATTGATGGCTATTCATTGCAAATTGATTTAGTCACACTTACATGAGCATCTATGACCATTTGAATACGTTCAATGGGCCCAAATTTATTAAACAGTTCGCGCACCTTCTGTTGGGTGGTATTGGTATTCAGGCCAAAAACTCCAATACATCGGCTAGCCTGTGGATGATCCTGCGTCAGGACATTGTAATGACTGCCTTGTATAAGACATTGGTTTTGAATTTGGCGCTACTTACGCGTGCCTGACGCATGCGTTGGCGATCCCGAGATGTGCGGCCTGAATAATGACGCACTTGCGGCGAATCTGACCCGGAGCGCGAACGTCGACGATGCTGCGAGCTGGACTTGGAGTTGTAATTGTGGTGACGGCTGCCATAGACTTCTCCGTCCGACCTTGAATGGGAATAGGTTAGATTTTCAATTGGTTTGCTGGCTGTGCATCTTGATTGTAAAAATGTGTGGTTCGGATTTTGACACTTGAGTACTCGAATTGAACTGATATATTTGTGTGGAATTCACATTGCATTTCAGAAACAAACTTGCTTGCTCTTCAATTACTGTGCACCGTGTACATTCTGCTCTGAAAGGTAAACCATTTGTTTCAGTTTTTCTTACATTTTTTAGTATAATATTTTTGGCAAAACTAGAGAACAGAACCTGCTCGCTTGAAAAGCTAAGCCAAATGAAGTATTCCTGATGACAGTTTAAAGACAACCGACAACGAAATATTTCGCCTGCTAAGATGCCTGTCAATCTATACTCGATACTCAATTTCTCATTCGATACTTACCGACGCTGACGGGTACGAGAACTCTCCGAGGATGCCGCTGACGAAGGGGTGGATGTGGCAGAACTGTAAAATGTTCGTACCGTTTGATTGTATACAGGTAGATTATAATACTTGTTTGATTATACCTGTGACTACATTTGTGCTTATCAATGCGATGTAAATGTAAATATTCCTTTTCCCTCCCGTTAACGAGTCCTGTGGACTACATACATACATATGCCAGAGTCACGTTAGAAACACACAATTGGATTACATAGCAGCGGTTCGAGTCATTACTTACCATGTTATGAGGCGTTAAAAACAATTGATAAAAGCCCAATTTAATCAATTTGTATAGTACTTTGCTGCTCTACAATTACTGTCGGAAGGTAAAACATGCAGAAGATATCAGGGCTGCAAGATTATCACAATCGGCGTTTTTAGAACTTGATAGTCCATAATCGATGCAAAGATTATCAGGGCTGCAAAGTCTTCTTCATCGAAATTCTTACAACTTTATTAGTCCGAAGTCATCGAAGTTTTTAGAACTTGGTAGTCCAAACTATAGGTGCCACGATAGTATCGTAATTGTTATTGCAACGAATTTAGTACGAAATTGTTTTAAATGTTCAATTCCATCAAGACATTCAATTTACAATATTAATAATACAATTTACAAGTTTAACATATACTTTATTTAAGAATTGCACATGATTTTAATATATGACAGTTTAGAGTCACTATAGTCTTTAAATGTGTTTTTCTCGAGTTTTGAACAATATTGACCTGATGACCTACCAAAACTGTAATCTGGCGAGCGAATTCTAAAATGCTTAAAAAATCAAGTGAACGCTCTAAATCACAAGTAATCATTTTATTTGCAATAATTAAATCAGTAACTATATGTAGGTATATAAATTTTAGACATTTTTTTTTAGCTTTTAAATTTTTTGTATTTTGATATATAAAGGCATACCCAATCGTATATATGTATGTAAATCCGGAGTACCTTATAGTCGAGAATTCTTCGTAAACCATTACAACCAGTTAATAGATGTGGTGGAATGCTTAAAAGTTTCGGAGCTTTTAACCAGAATTAGTAGAATACTAGTAGAATCACACAAGCAAAAGTTTTACCAACACAAATATGGAGTTACATTTTAAAGCTTACATTTATATTTATCAATATAAACAGAAATACAGTCTTTGATCAGAACACACACTTTGTTACTTTAATTATACATACGTATGTACATATATGAATCACAGTTTGTAAATATAAAAATACTCTATAGGCGACTATTTAGTTGTAGTTGTAGTACCTACTGAACGCATCGTGTTTCATACCAATGTAATTGTAAAGCATTTTCCGCTCCTCGTCATACAGGTTTGTTATGTTTCTGACCATTCGATCGTTATTGTAGGGATTCTTTGGCGGAGCCTCCAGCAGATTGCCTTTAACATGCCATTTCTTTTCGGAAAAAAATGTTTTCACTCTGGCACGCAAGCCAGCGCCACTGAATGTGGGTTTCCGAAATATTTCACACATATTCTTTTTGCCGTACTTGTGGAAAATACGGTTCAAGGTATCATCTACTTCTGGCTGCTTACAATAATAAATATACCATAGCTTGCGATCAGGTGCCCGCATATCAGTGAGACTTAGGACTCCAAAAAACTCCACAATGGAGGGATCACATTTACTTGTTTCTTCAGTTGGCTTAATGTAGAACATGCGATGCAAATATCTTTCAAATTCATCATCAAAACTTTTGTCGGCTGCAATAAAATCAGTTATTGTATTTCTCTGAATGATTTCGTGCTCTTCTTTAAATTACCTTCTGACGCCATTTTTTTGTATGAGAGCGTTACACTATTTTCTTGTCCTGTGTGTGAATTATACTTAACCAAAAGTGCCGTTAGCTTGTGCTTAAATAGCCAATGCTGTCATTTCAATTTATATGAAATATGTAAAAAGCTGCGACTTAATATTTATTTCGCAACTATGCCTGGTCAAAAGCTGCTTTTGTGAAAGTATCGATACTACGTTTTTGCGCTGCCAGACTGTTTTAAAAGTGTTAATTAAACATTTTGAATCCTATACAGATTATGGTTTATATTCAATTATCAATTTCAATTGAATCATTGATAAAAATCAGTTCACGTTTATTGACCGTATTAATTCAGCTTCAGATAAAGATGCTATAAATTTTCAACATACACTATTTTGTCTTTATATTGTAAATTAAATTAAGAGTGAATTAGTATTAAAATTAGGTCATAATTCATAGCAATTTGTGAGGAGGTATCGATTCCCAGTTGTAAAGCGCTGCCAATGTTTTGAAAGATTTACAAGCAGGTTGGCAGTTCTTAAACCCACAGCTGCTGCTGATGCTTGATTAATTTGTTATTCAACCAGCCCCGTTAACAAAAAACAATGCAAAATTGTATGAAACTTTTGCCGCTTGCACTAAAGTGCAATCTGCGAGCTATTAGCACAACTGCACCAATGGCTGGAAAGCGAAACTTTCGTAAATTTAATGTATACGGCAAGCGTGGAACACGTGTGGTGAAGGAAGCGCAGCGGACGCTAGCAAATCCGCCGGTGGCCATACACAAACGAGGAGTTCGTGATACAGGCATAACAGTTAATGGCCAATTTGTGGAAATACCAGAGAAAATACCCGACATTATAGTGCCAGATTTAACCGGCTGTAAATTGAAGCCTTATGTGTCCTACAAAGCTCCCGAAGTAATACAATCGGAATTTACTAGTTTGGATCTCTTCAACGCCGTCTATTCGCAAAAGATTATAGAGGACTTCAAGGCTGGCAAACTGCAGGCCGATGGCAGCGCGACGGAACCTTCACCCGACGAACAGCTAACGCCAGAGATAGCTCTGCAGCGTGCGCGTAAAACGGGCAGTGATATTTTTTAAACATGCACACATATGCCTATAAGGTTTATTATTTGTTAAATATGTTGGGTTTCTATTGCTGTATGTACTTTTGACGATAATTGTAGAGTTTGCGGAGCCATTTATCGGCCTTTAGGTCAGAATCGGCTAAAAACTGCAAGCGGTAAAACAAATATGTTAAATAAAATGCACCCAAAAAATAAGAAGATTAAACTCACGTTTGGATGAAATATATCATCTTCTTTTGATTGAACAACATCAATAGGCTTGGTTATGGAAACTGTTTCCCTATTTAAATCAATTATTACTTTGTCATCTTGCGCCTCACGGTCCCGTGTGCTGAAGAATGCAGCCGGCTTAAAGGCATCCTCATCAATGGTTTCCAGAGCCTTTTGCACTTTTGCATCCAGCAAGTCAATGGCTTTCATGGGCGCGACAGTGGATGTGGTGGCCTGGCGCGATGTGCTGTCGGCACTGGGCGCTCTTGTTGTGCGTTGTGATACGGACCGGGATTTCGATTTTCGAGAATCGACGTCCCTGCTTTTGCTCTGTCGGCTTCTTGAGCTGCTTCGGGAACTCTGCGGTGTTGTGCTACGAGATGAGCTTCGGCTAGTACTGCGGCTACGTCGATAATACTTTTTGGATTTCTTAGACTTCTTTTTCTTTGACTTTGATCTGTTCCTGCTGCTACGTGAGGGAGATTTTGATTTGGAACGGTAACGTTCCCGTTCCTTATCCCGTTCTCGATCTCTATCACGGTTTCTATCTCGCTCCCGATCCCGATCCCGGTCGCGATCTCTCTCCCGCTCTCGTTCTCGTTCGCGTCTTTCACGCATTTTTTTTCTTAGTGTCGGCACAGCCTGATGCCTTAAAAGTAAATTACTTAACATAAATGTTATTTGACTTAACAGAAGACATTCTGACTGTTGTTAACAGTTGAAAATAGCACCTTTAAAATCTGTCGAAGTTAATATTCGCATACGCCAAGATTATATTAATCAATCGAAAATCAAAACAATCAAAAATTAATTATAGATAACTAAGCTATTTACATTTGAATATTAAATATGTATTGGAGGAGCAACTTCTGTTACACGAGGAGTAATTCTGGCATGTAAAAATTACCCTTATGATTAGGGATATTTGAGGAAACTTGTTAGTTAGAAGGGAAATTTGTTAGCGCTAAGTTTTAAAATTCTTTCGAAGGGAAAATCAAAAGTTGAAATTTTAGCGCACAGAACGTTATCAAATATGACATACAATTTCTATTCATAGACCAATCATGCTGAATTAGTTTTTCCAACAAATCTATCAAATCTGAATGCAATAAATCAAATGTCCTAATCGTTCACCGGTTATCAAATATAATGTTATAATAATATATGATTGAAGCTTTAACGTTATATATTGGCTGATTAAACAGTCTTGGGGGTATATAAATGCTTGCCGAGCTTCATTTGTTCGCAATCAAATTGCAGCGGTCAATATAAATAGTTAATGGTGTTGAAAATGTGGCTGTTCCGATTCCTGGTAGCTCAGCTCATTCTGGCCTTCATTGTCACGGCCTTGCCCGCCGATGTCGGCCGAAGTAGCTCACTAACAACGGTAAATTCTAAATATTTACTCTTTAATTTAAACTCGCATTTCATATAATATTTTATTGTATATATAAGGTGTCTATTGTAAAAAAATATGGCTATCCAATCGAGGAGCATGAAGTACAAACGTCCGATGGGTATCTCCTAACAATGCATCGCATACCCTACTCCAAGAACACAGGCGACACAGGTCGTCGTCCGGTTATGTTCCTGATGCACGGTGTCCTCTGCTCCTCATCGGACTGGGTCTTAAGCGGTCCATCTAATGGCTTGGCATTCATCCTATCTGATGCTGGTTACGATGTTTGGATGGGCAATGCTCGCGGCAATACTTACTCGAGAAAACATGCTAGCAAGTCACCTCTGTTACAGCCTTTCTGGAACTTCGAATGGCATGACATTGGTATCTATGATTTGCCCGCAATGATGGATTACGTCTTATACCATACGGGCGAGGAACAACTTCAGTATGTCGGCCACTCTCAGGGCACAACATCATTCTTTGTGCTTAACTCAATGATTAAGAGATTCAAGAGTCGCATTCGGTCAGCACATTTGCTGGCACCGGTTGCCTGGATGGAACATATGGAAAGTCCGCTGGCCAAGATAGCAGGACCTTTGCTTGGACAGCCCAATGCCTTTGTCGAGCTATTCGGCAGTGCCGAATTCTTGCCCAACTCCAAGGCTATGGATCTAATGGGCGCGCTGCTATGCCACGATGAGGCAATATCTCAAGCGATTTGCTCAAATGCGCTTTTCCTCATAGGAGGATGGAACTCGCCTTATTTGAACGCCACAATGATTCCGGAAATTATGGCCACAACTCCAGCTGGCTGCTCAATCAACCAAATCTTCCATTACCTACAAGAATACAATTCGGGATATTTCCGTCAGTTCGATTATGGCTCGACCAGAAACAAAAAGGACTATGGCAGCAAGACACCACCTGAATACGATGTTGAGGGAATGGACGTCCCAATTTATCTCTACTACAGCGATAATGACTATTTCGCTAGTCTTATAGATGTCGATAAACTTCGTTATACAATGAATCCAGATTCCCTAAAACGCGCGTATCGTTTGCCTGAGGCGAAGTGGAATCATTTGGACTTTCTTTGGGGATTGAATGTCAAGGAAATACTTTATGATACAGTTCTTGACGACATCGTAAATGCGTAGTTCGCAATAATAAAGACAACACCTCCTATACATTAGTGTTTTATTAGTGCACGTTTATCAATCTTTGCGGGTTTACCGTTTAAAAATACTTGCAGCTGTTTTTGCTCATAAATTAAGTGTGTAATCTGATAAGAAAAGAAGGGACCATGAATGAAAACTTGTGGGTCAAATTTATCTGAATATATTTTATATAAAACATAAGAATTTAAAAAGTGTATGTAATCAACAATCTAATGATTAACCTTAACTTTCAAACTTGTAAATACCATTCCAAACTTGTATAATACCATTTCCTCTTCCCATTTACAAAAGAAAAATAGAATAATAAAATATTTGTATTGCATGCACATATGTATGTGTCTGTGTAAACTGCGTAATCAACTTTCCTTTTAGCGTTAATAAAGCACAAATTATACAGTGTTTAATTCCAATTGCATACTAAAGTCAGCAAACAGTTTATTTGACTTTATGATTGTTCTTCAATATAAAGAATATACAAATTCAGCTGTGTTGTTCTCAAGGGTCTGTACAATAACTTGCAATGTCGCGGATATACGCCGAGCTAGTGGGCTGTGAGTGTCTATCGTATTTTAGAGAGCATTGCTGATATTTCCTACAACTACTATAAGTTACCGCTGCCAATGTAAGACGTTAAATTATTTTCAATATTAATCTGCAGATAAACATAACTACGTAATTTGGTCACTCAGTTATGTTCAAAGCAAGCCTGCAGTTTCTATAGTGCTTTTCAGGATTTGTATGCTTCCGCTCATCTGGTCACACTAAACTTGCAGGTATATTCACGGTACAGCCTCGGCGAAAAAAGTGTATTGGCCATTTAATTTGAAGCATAGTTTTGACTAAATAACGCCGTAAAACGTAGCCCAGTGCGTTGGGAAAGATGACGCGCATAACTAGAAGTGATATCTCACTTGATATGGAGTGCTGGGTGGAGGAGCTGTCCCCAGCGCAGTTGGCCTACTATGAAAAAATCACGAACGAACACAACGCTGTAAAAAACGCGCTGAAGACCGCCGTCAGCGCTAATGAGGGCAAGGAGCTGTTTAATGGACAGGTGTTTCAGGCATACTCGTTCAAAGGCAAAGTGCTACAGGAACTGAAGGAAGCCACGTTGCCAAAGAAGCCACCGAAGGCAGCAGATCTGGCAACCCCGCCGCCTGCTTCCGGCGGTGGTGGCAGTGGCACGGGCCGTGGGCGTGGCCGACCACGGCTTGCCTCAAACATTGCTTACTTGGAGTCATCGGACGAGGGTGACGACGATGTGCCGCTGGCCAAACGCTTGGCACTATCAGTGGGCAAAAAGGCTGTTGCTGCAGCGGCTCCAGCCTCAACCACACCGAAAGCGAGTAAAAAATCTGCCTCGGCTGGTGTTTCTCCCACTGGCAAGTCGTCGCCTCAGCCTAAGGGTAAGGGATCCGCTTCCGGATCCAGTGGCAAAGCATCAGGCGAAGCGCCGCCTAAAAATTTCCGTCCTGCGGAGGTCAACTCTGTGGGTGGTCTGGTTGTGGGTAGCAGCGATGACAGTACCGGTAAAGATGGTAAGGATTCTAAGGATGGCAAGGATACCAAAATGCAGGGCAAAACATATCCGTCGCTGGTCGTGCTGGCCAAGCCGTTCCTCAAGGTTAAAGACATGGCGGCCACGCGTAGCAAACTGGACTCCAAGGTCAAGCTGGTACTTATGCTGACTCCCAACAAGTTCTGCGAGTGGCTGCTGCAAGAAGGATTGCTGCGAGCCCAACAGCACTGCATCAATCATCGCAACAACGAACTCAAGTTGGGTAAGCATCAATAAGACTGCTAAAGACATATTGTGACTGCGATTATCGACAGCTGCGAAAACTTTAAATTGACGGCAAAATAAAACCCCCGACTTCTAGATTAATAACTAATTTACGAACATTGTGCTTCTCCTAGGCGTTTACTCTGATATCAGCAAGTTTCCATACACCGGTGGCTATGTGTGGATCAGCGAGTGCTGTCCGTATCGGTTCGTTTCGGTATTTAACAATTCCATATTCGAAGGGGCTCAGCATCCGCCAACGTTTCTCCTGAAACTAATATATCATTGGGCTTGCCAGACCAGCATCCAAAATGTAGTGCAGTGGGTAAAGGTGGACAGCGTTTACATAAAAGGTATTTACACGTGGCTACGTGCTATATGCACCTTAGCGGTGCATCAAAAGTGTAAAAAGCTGGGCGGTCCTGGAAAGTTCGTGGAGGTGCGTTTTATCCAGCTATTATCAAGCGAATTTTTTATTCAGTTTTATTTGTTTTGTGTTGTAGGTAGGTGTCATCTCGTTGGGCACCACTTCGCAGGATGGCGCACAGCGTCAGGTAAAAGTGGAGGTCCTTGGCGTCTACGACTATGCAGATAAATCTATACGGTTGCGTGCCGTAGAACCGATTACCGATGGCGATCGCAATTACAAAAAGCGTTTTCAGGTAGAAGATTAGCTAATTGATCATCAATTTAACTAAGTTTTAATATAATTTACACTTCTATTTTTGCAGGCCATTTTAGAGCCGCTGTCCCGGTGGGTGCACAAAGACAGCACTATTTGCATAGACTTGACCGTAGATAAGATAACACTCTTTAGCATGGGCTTTAAGAACATTGTACAAGCTGCAGCCACTGACAACGCGGCGAAGCACAACAATTCGGCGGTCATGGAATACTTGCGCCGCATTGTACCGCGCATGTTCCAAAATACACTCTCGTTGCTATCGCGCCAGATGATACAACAGTTCCTTGATGAGCTGGTCTGGCGCGAATCCTTTGGTACGTATGCGCTGCAAGCGTTCAACAATATCATCATACATATTGCCGAGCAGACACGCGTGACCACCAATGAGACCATTACACAACGCCTGTATCAGGTGGGTATCAGTTAAATAAGCTCTAATAAATATAAAATTTCATTAATGTAACTCGATTTTGCAGGTCGCAACGAATCCGTTTAAGGACTGGAGTGTGCTGCCTCCCAATTACAAGGAGACACCGGCTAATGCTACGCCTAAACGCCTCAAGAAACGTTAGTAAATCATCGATAGTTAGTATGTAGGCCGTGATTAGTCTTAATAGTCTAATTTAGTCATAGGGCAGCTGTAGCTGCGAGAAATGCCAAACCCGAATTATATTGTAATGCCTTTGCGTTTTGTCACTCCAAAGCGAATGTAATTTTCAATGTCCAGTATGCCCTTCATTAATTTAAATGTTTCAAGATTTTCAATCTATTGACATCGAATGTTCATGAACGCTTCTTTTATTTTTTTTTACTATGTGCATGTAAATTTAATTATATTCGTGATATTTTTAAATGAGTCAGCATTTAAAATCTGATTTACATATAATTTTACTTTTGGCATTCTTAAAATGTGTTAACTTGTTCTAAAAACAACAACAGACGAAATAAAACAAAAAAAAAAACTAAAACTGAAACTGTATAAAAACTATGTAAAACTGGTACTTTTTATTTGCATTGATTATGATTTTTGGAGTGATATAACGTTTAAAGGCATAAACTTGATATTAACATGCAACTGTGATGCTGATGTTTTCTTCTCAAAACATTTCCCAGCAAATAGAATAGTCCCTGAATCTTAAGCCTTAATCAGCATGCAATGCAAACCTTCGATCTATTTGGATATTTTTAACAAAATCGACAATATCTTCTCGTTTTGTAGCTATTAACGATTCAGACTATGTTCATGCTAGTAAGGAATTTTCTGGCAAAGTAAAGAAAGAAAGGGAGCGTGAAAAGGAAAAGGATGTTTTACCCGCGGGAACCAAACGTCGTGGTACAGTCAGCACGCCGCCGCCGGTCGCAGTCTCTAAAGGAGTTGGCAGGCCACCTGGCTCTAAATTGGCTGTAAAATCAGGACCGTCTAAGACAAACACGGCCGCTGCACCGGCGACTAAGACTCCGATCAAAAAGCCGAAAGAGGCAAAGGAGGAGAAAGAGAAGGTGGCCGTGGTTATCAAAAAAGAAGAAGACGAACTCAAGGGCCTTGAGGAGCTCTACTATGGAATTAGCGATGGTACTGAAGAGTTTTATGAGCATTTCCCCTACAGCTCGCCTCGAGCCAATCCAGCGGAGCTTACCAGAACAGTGGAGTGTCCAATTTGCTTGAACGGCGATACCTACGACTCCAATGAAAAGCTACAAACGCATCTGGTATCGCATATCTCACCTGAGGGCAAACAACATCAATTCCAATGCCTGTTCTGCTTGGAAAAGCATGCAACCGAATCGGTTCTGGCCAAGCACAACCAAATCATGCATCCCACCGAAACCAAGACAGATGGCTCTCCATCGTATCATTGTTTGATTTGTCAGCAGCGACACAATTCTCTGCACTTGCTTACCGCTCATCTACAGAAAGTGCACAGCACACTGGAACTACCGTACTGGTGTCAATCTTGCGGATATCGCTCCTCCTCGCATCGCGATCTGGTGCGGCATTTTTATGACGATCACAAGAATCAAAACTTTCTACAGTGCCCCTATTGCCTCGATGTAAGTGTGATTTTAATATCCTGTGGATTCAACTTATGCTCTTTTGCTGGTTTTTGCAGATCTTTTACTTCACCCACAAGGGCAAGGTCAATCAGCTGCGTGTTGAGCACTACTTTATGCATCTTGACGAGCACGTGAACAAGCGGGACCCATCATTGCGTTGTCAGAAGTGTTCTCTGAGCTTCTTGGAGAAGGGCGATTTGAAGCAGCACGCGGTTCTACATCATGTCAGCATGACCAAGACGAATAAACCAGTGCGTCTGCTGTTGAACAACTCTCTTCTGATTCCGCCTCCCAAGGTGCGCACCCATCATCGCGAACAGCCGCCATTTTCGACCTATAAACGGCCCGTTTTCTTTGCCTTCCTGGAGGGCAAAACCTGCGCTGAGTGCAATACAGATTTCGCCAGTGAGGAGACGCACTACACGTAAGAGCAACTACATGAAAGTAATTGATATGAAACTAAGCAGACTTTCTTAATCTTCCACAGGGGTTGGCTGCACTGTGTTAAATGCAATTACCAGACATGTTGCGAACGCGCCCAGTTTCGTCACGGCGTCGACTGTAATGGAAACTTTGTGGATGCTATGGAAGTAAATATGCTGCAGGAAATGCACTGCATCTGCGGCTTTGCCACCAGCAATGGCAATAAAATGGCTCAGCATTTGGCTAACTGTGGCCTTAGCACCTGCTACCCCAGCCTAGAGGCAGCCAATGAGAATGCCGTCAAGCGTAATATGCTGGATATGCTGGGGCTGGTTCGCCGTGATGGTGAAACATCTGGTGAAGGAGCAGAAATGGGCGATGCAGTGGATGACGCCATGGATGACAATAACGAACTATTACCGGCGGCGGAAGCTGACCAGCAGCAACAAGATGATCAGCCGGCACAACTGCAACATCATCAGGAGCCGCCACAGGTCCCGCAAGTTGATATGCAAACGGATGCACAGCAGCAACAGAGTTATATTGAGCCACAGCCCGAGCCTCAGCCGATACCCCATTTAGCCGCGCAGCAGTCGACGCCCATACAATTCGGCGAAATGGAGGCAGCGCCTGTTATGTTAGATCCGCAGGTTCAAGCAGCCGCTGACTATGCTCAGGTGTCTGTCGTGCAACAGCAACAACAGCAGCACCAACAACAGCAGCCATATGGAATGGCTGGATACGGCCAAAGCGCGCTCTCAACGGACATTGACATGCCGCTGATTGGTGAGCTGGCCGAACCTAATGCGCCGCCAACGCCCCAGTTTCTCGGTGAGGTGCACACGCCAATGTTCGATGCAGTGGCCGCTGCCGAGCAGCAACACTATCACGCCCAGCAGCAACAGCAGCATCATCATCATCACCATCCCCAATGATACAAAGCGATGGGAAAGCTAAAACCACGCGATTACACGCTGCCCTGGCAGAACTACTAGAAATAACTTCACCGATTTACAAACGCATTCATGTATATCATGAGTATTAATTGTATTAAATTACATACACTACAATTTTGTAGATGAGCATCGAAATATTGCACAGTAAATATTAATGAAAATTTATAAAACATTATTAAACATACAACTGTAATTGTCCACTTGTAATACACATAAAACATAAAATAAAAATATAATGGTAACCACAGTTTGCGTCTATTAATGCAAACAATTATTGTATCAATTGCTTAAGACCGTTTACAGAAGAATTGTAATTCTCTTTGTTTAGACTCCTCATCAAAAATTGTAGTTTTTTATCAAGGCCTAAATTTCGAAAATGTACAATTTACATACTGATAAGCTAACCAAATATATAATGAATATTTGTAGCAATCCTCTAATAGACTCGCCCTGTGACTAAACCAACTGTACAAAAATTGTTGATATCTGTCGAATACTATTGTTACTGAGAGATTTTTAGAATATTGGAACTGTGTGATTGTTGCTGCTGTGGATCTTGGTCATTTTTGTTGTTGTCGCAGCTTGGATTTCAGCAGCGCTGACAGTACAAGCGCTGTGTCCAGTTCCTGTTGTGTGCCTGGTTCGTTGTCCAGCGAGATTTCAGCAGCACGCTCATGGAAACGCGCCAAAACACGTGGGCGATAGTCTGAAAAAGGACACAATTAAAGGCGTCAATTAAACGCATCCATCTGTGTTCAGACTTACCGACACTGCCTGCCAGAGGATTACCAGTGAGTCTCAGCGTCTCTAGGAGTGGCAGATTGGCAACAAAATCAACTTCATCTAGTTGTTCGATAAGATTGCAGCTCAAATCCAAATTGACCAGGGAGAGCAGCTTACGCAGTCCGCTCAACGCCTTAATCTTGTTCTGTGCCAGATTTAAGGTCACAAGATTACCCATGCTCAGGTGCCAGTCTATACACTCAGCTATCAAATTGCCCGACAGCGAAAGTAGCTGCAGGCGTGGCAGCTCCGCCAGATTCTGTACGGTGCGAATGCGATTCTGTTCCAGGATAAGGCGACGCAGCTTGGGTGCAGTTCGTACGCTGCCATCAATTTGGGTAAGCAGATTGCCCGTCAGATCCAGTTCGCACAGCTCGCTCCACGCATCTGTGCTGAGCACCGCATCGTCGCCATTGGCTGCTGCCTCCGGCAGAAGGCTGGGCACATTGCAGTCCTTGTGTACATTGTCGCAAAGCAGGACCTGATTGATGTGCGTTATCGTGGTATTATGCACACAAATTGTTTGCAGCGTCGGCTTTAAAAGCTCTATATCGACAATGTTCTCTGTGGAGAGCGCTGAAAACTTAAGAGTTTTAAGATTTCGGAATGCATTCAAGTTGAAGCTCAAGCGATTTGGAATGATATTGCTGCGTCCAATCGGCACATCTACCGTGTTGTAGTCCTGCGCAAAGCTAGCATTATCTTTTACAGGCGTCACTACCAGGGCTGCGAGCTGTGTGCTAAAGTCCAGCACATGCGAAAAGTCAAATTTGCCTCCTTGCTCACTGCTGGGCGGACAGGGTAGGGCAAGACGCTCACTGATGGCATATACCTGAAAATTAAAACCAAATTTATGAATGTTCATTTGTCTAACACAAATAATTGTTTTTCTTTAAATTATTGACTTTCTTCTAATCCTCCTTATGTCAAAGATTCAGAGATATTCGCTGGTTGTAGCTCACGCTCCTCGTACTTCAGGTAGACCAATAGCAGCCTATAGAGCAATACGACTCCCAGGAGCCTACGCTGCTCCGTTGTAAATTTACTACGGGCCACACCAAAGTAGACACCCACTCGTCTATTTGTCAAATGATTTAAGCCCAAGGCGTCGATCATTGCTGCCTCGCGGGTGTGCGCATCATTTGATGAGATACCTTTAAAGCCGCGCAGCAGTAGAACACCTCGTTGATGCTTCCAAAGGTGCACAATAAGTGCCAGCTTCGGATCTTTGGCCAGCACAATAGGATTGGCTGATCGCAGTACCTTGTGGGCCTGCCGCAAGTGCACGTATGGACGAGTAGACTTTCCCTTGCCCACATAGAAAATAGCCCGCAAGAAAGTGAGCCAAACGTCGAGCTGGTGCATGCTCTTCGCACGCTTCTTCAGTCCATTGGTAATGCGCGGATCTAGCAGCAAGTAATTAAAAAAGTGGCGCTTGCTCTGATCGTGGTGCCAGTGCCATCTGCTATGCTGTTTGACAAGATTAGAATGCTTTTTAATGCTCGCAAAGTTATGCTCCGATTGGAGCGTATGCTGCAGCTCAGCAGAGAAGTTGGTCGAGGGCATGTGCATGACCCCCAAAGAGTACTTGATGCTCCGACTTTGGGACAATTGGTATAGCAGTGGACGGCCGCTGACCATAGTCAGTAGGACTACTAACAATTTAGGCATGGTTCGCGGTAGCAAAGCCAAATACGTGTTCAAATGTGTGTATAAATTAATAAAAAATAAATAAACTATACAAATGAATTTCCAACATTTAATATAAAAAAAATGAATTCTCTGACAAAACTGAGTTCTTGTCATGGAACTTACCTCCAGGGCCGATAAGCTGTACTCCTTTTTGGCACTCAGTAGGGCATCGCCACTCTCGTAAAACAGCTTAGCAAGATCTTGCAGCAGATATATAATGTCATACTTGTTGAAATCCAAGAATTCAGCAAGCAAACGTGGCAGCTCATTTCGAAAATAGATGAGTAGCTCTTGCAAATACGTTTCCAATTGTTCGCGACGCTGCTCTAAAAATGCGGGCTGCTTATTGCCCACAAGCTGCAACATGGAAAAAATATGAGTTGAGCTCTGAAGTTATTGTCGCTTTATTCCAGTGGGCGTACCTTCTTTGGTGGCAACAGCTTTTTGCTGATCGATATCTCCTCTACGAGCTTATCGTGGAGCTGAGCAAAATCGCGATAGCGTCGCTCTACGAACCATTCCACGGTTCCAACGCGAACCTTTTTTACGAATAGAAATAATTGTATAGTATGTGAAACTTGTTTCCATAAGTATAATTAATACCTTGATGTCATAATACGTGATCCCTGCTGAGCTTTCCACAACATATTTTGGAATTGTCACCGTTGTGTCTTCATGTTGACGATAATAACACGACATTGTTAACTGTGTGTTTTTGGACTTGACAAATAATTTTTCCTTTAGTGTTCAACTAAATGATTAACATAATTGTGACATTTGATTAAATTGAGCTCTAAAAATAACAGCTTTTACTAAATCTAAATCTACTGATGTTTTTGTTGTACAGCTGATTTGTGCGGTTATTAGAGATGGCAAAATGTCACAGGTTGGGAGCAATCACTGTTCAAACAGATGTTCGTACAAGTGCAAGCAAATGCATATGTAAACATAAGCTGATTTACTGTTCTCTTTCAAGCTTTTCTTATTATTTCATAATTTGCTTTCGTTAAATTGGTCGATTCAAACATATTTTTAACTGTGGTTATTGGTTGTGTATTTCAGCGCGGGAGAACGTGGCTTCGTCGATAGTTATCGATAAATGACTGACCATTCAGCGTGCATTCTGGCAACGCCGCTGTGGCCATTTCGGCGTTTTTGTTTATGTTGTTTGTTGGCAATTTCCATTCAACGAACGCTGACGAGCAGGACATAAACGATCTTTAACTAAGCAATGTCACTGCCCACGAAATTAAGCAGGGCAACATTGACAACAAAAGTATAAAAAATAGTGACTGCTTAAAATGGCGTTTCTGGCCGACTGTGTAATCGTGTTCGTCTCGCAGGCAAGCGGCTCAGTTTATACGACATTGACTATTATTACAAATTGGTATTTCCTGTGTTATAGATGCTCTTCTTTGCCGGCGGTTGGCTGTTCTTCAACAAGCAACTATTCAAGCACTATGAGATTCGTCACATATCCGTGCAGTTGATTTTCTCCTCAACATTTGCGCTGTCCATAACAATGTTTGAGCTCATCATATTTGAGATTATTGGCGTACTGGAATCAAGTTCTCGTTATTTCCATTGGCGTCTGGGTCTGACGCTTCTGCTGTTCATGGTTACTGCGGTGATACCCGTATACATTTGTTACTCTGTGATACACAGCATTTCCATCTGTACGTCAAAGATTTACTCATATTATGGCTCTCTAAGATTTATTTACTTTCTTACTGCAGTTTCCGACAGATGGGTGCGCATTTTGACAACTCTCTGTTGGTTCGTCTTCCTCTACGGCCTTTGGCGCATTGGTGAGCCCTTTCCGCTGCTCAGCGCCTCACACGGCATTTTCACCATCGAACAGGGAGTGTCACGCATTAGTGTTATTGGTGTGACTGTTATGGCCATACTCTCCGGCTTTGGTGCTGTCAATTATCCATACACCAGCATGACCTATTTTATCAAGTAGTCACCATCGCCCGTACACACAGCTGTGTTCTTATCAGCGCTAACGTATATGTATTAATTGCAGGCCCGTTTCACGCAATGACATCATATGCTTTGAGCGACGACTGGCTCTCACTGTCGATATGTTGACGGCCAAGAAACGCCGCATTGCCATGGCCGTTTATAATCACAATAAACAGCATCCCACAAAGCCGAGAATTTGGGATATGTTGACGTCAGCAGTGCATCGCACAACTAGCTCTGGAGAGGGTATGAAAAAAAAATCATTTCTTTACATTGCGCATTTAATAAAGTGTTATTTTTTGCAGACATTAATCAGCTTAAGCAGGAAGTATACGGGCTGGAAGAGCTACAACGCTCCGTCTTCCTCGAGCTGAGCTCACTAAAAAACATGGAGGAGCGTCAACGTTGGTCGCAAACACTACAGGGAAAATACTTTAATGTTTTGGGGCATTTTTTCAGTGTCTATTGCGTCTATAAAATATTTATGGTATGTAATCTGTTGTTGGGAAACTGTTGCAATATTTGACTTCTCTTCTCATTTTCAGTGCTGTATAAACATAATATTCGATCGCGTTGGCCGCAAGGATCCAGTGACGCGCGGCTTAGAAATCGCCGTGCACTGGTGTGGCTTTGATATAGATTTGGCCTTCTGGAATCAACATGTTTCCTTTCTTCTGGTTGGTTGCATTGTGGTTACATCCATACGAGGTCTGCTGCTAACACTAACAAAGGTAGGCATTATCGTGAATTCAGGAAATTAGTTAAATGTGTGTTTCTTGCAGTTCTTCTATCGCATTTCATCCAGCAAATCAAGCAACATAATTGTGCTGATTTTGGGTCAAATTATGGGCATGTATTTTTGCTCCTCAGTTCTGCTGATGCGCATGAATATGCCAGCTGAGTATCGTGTGATTATCACTGAAGTGCTTGGCAATTTGCACTTCAACTTCTATCATCGTTGGTTCGATGTCATATTTCTGGTCAGCGCCCTGACTACCATAATTGTGTTGTATTTGTCCCGCAAACCTGTTCGCGTTGACGATACTGATTTGCACTAAACCAAAAGTGGGGAGATCATGACAAGGTATGATAAGTTAGGCACAATTGATTGAGAATCAGTTAAGTACCATATTTAATGCAAGCTTTAAGTTATAAAGTTACATACATATATATATATATATAAATCCAAGTATACGCCAGTGTGTATACGTATGTTTGACTAAGTATCCTAAGAATACATAGCACAAAAATCACAGTTGAATCAACTTAAGTAAATTGAAGCAACGAACTGTTTTAATATATATAATATAATTGTATTGTATCTAAGGTTATGTTCCAAGATAAAAGCTTCCAAACAGCGTACCCAGTATTTTCAAAACGCATGCGCTTAAAGCATGCCGCTAAAGGCTAACAGCAGCTTTCAGTGAAATGCATTGGCACTGAGGCAGGACCAAAGCTCAAAATGGTTTGGGTTGTCATGTTACAAGTGTCCTGTTTGGGCTCAAGGTTGACTCAAACTTGAGTTTATTTCACCCATTTTTCTCAAATGTTCCATTTCCAATGTTTCATGTTATTTTCACAGATTTAAAATAGCTATGTATGTTATTGTTTGAGGTAAACTGTTTAGAAATATTGGGTAACTTGGTGAATCCGTAAGAATGTAGTTTGGTATAAGAAGTTAGGGCAATTCCAGATTTACATTTCTGTACTTTCAAAATTGTTTTACCAGAAATATTTTAATATACACATATAGATAATTTTTCAATTATTTTGCTTTATAATAAAAATAATGCCTAGTTTTTGAGATTAGAGATTCTGTTAAAAATAGTCCCAAAACTTGAATTTACATCACAAAGTCATTCCACTTCTTGCCTAACGCTTGAAATCAATTGAAAGAACAGTCGCAAATATTGAGAAGTGAAGCTCAATTAAAGCTGTTGCGAATTTTAGAAATGCAAAAAGCGTGTCAATTCACATCACAGACGGGCTATTGGGCCAATTGAAGATAAAACGTCATGAAATCATTGCGGCAGCAAAATACTCAGCCAAAAGCATTTAAGTGCTAGAGTGAATAAATAATGGAACAAAAATGATTGAAGGGTGTCCAGAAGGCCACCGCTTAAGCTGCAGTCCCTTAAAAATGTTGAGAACAAGCGCAGCCCACTGGCAACTAACGCGATTTAATCAGCTGTAAACTCGATTAGCTGTTTACAAAACATGAGACAAACCATCGCCCGCAGGAGGAACGGCTAGAGATGTGCACCCTAGAGATGTATATGCATGTCTTAAGTCATCTATAAAGTACGAGAATGAATATGTTAAAATTTACATGTGATTATCATTAATTTTCTAAATTTTCATCTATAAATTACTAGAATGAATATGTCAAAATATACATGTGATTATCATATTTTAGTAGTAAATTTTCTCTGAGGATAAGCTTTGCTGTTACTCAATAATTCGGTTTTATACCGTTTCAGTTGCCGTCACGCTTCCATCTCTAGGCGTGTGTGGGGCGCAGTCATGCAACGTATCTGGCATGTATCGCAGACGGTTTACCTTATCGATTTCATCGATTAGTGATTGATAATGTGCTTGGCCTGCTTTTAGGCTGCTTTTGTTGTTGTGCTTGCAGCTAACCTCATAGGCCATTATGCAAATGTGCTACCCAATTGATTTGAATTTCATTTACGTTGCGTATACGCGCCATATGCTGTGCCATAATTAATGCCTTGTGCCCCAGTCGGCTAATTAGCATAAACTTAATTAATTTCCTTGTTGGGCCTTGGGACTTTGTCGCTCAGCTGATTGACAATTGCAAGTTCATGCCACAATTCAGGCTGACGCGGCGGCAACTAAGCCGCAAATCGTAGTCAATTGCAAAGTGCCTCCTTCCGCCCTCCCCTATGAATTTGCCTTGACACTCAAAGATCTTGGCACGGGCACATTGCTGGCACGCGTATTTAGCATATTCTCTGTGTCGCATTCGACCTTTGTTGTGCATTCATGGAGCACACATGTGCGCGTCAGATTCGCACCTGACTTAAGGCCATGGCAGCAACAACAACACCAAAAACAAAATCACCAACAGCCCTCAATCGTGTGCTGTTCCTGTCATTGTCACCGCTGGCTCCCGGCCATGGCAACGATATTAGCATATGAGAAGCCCACTCCGTTTCCCGGAGATATTGTGACACTCCTTGAGCCAATTATGCGGTACATTTCCCCGAATCCTATGTGACATAGATGAATTGACTAGGGAGTAGATAGATAAGACAGAGAGGAGTAGCATATTATAGATAAACAAAAAACTTTAAGGAGCAAGTGAAAACTATACTTGCTGTAGGAAATATATGAATAGAAAATATAAAAAGCTGTCAAAAAAGGTCTGTTTTTGGCACACCGAATTCCAAATAACCTTGAAGACATTTGGTTTAGAACTGCTTTTAGACAAAAGCTTTTTTTTCAATCAATTGTTAAGGAGCTAAAAATGTTTTATACAATATATAATATAGTGGCCACCTAGAGCAACTTTTATATCGACTGGTCACTTTTCGGGGAAAAATTTAAAATTCTCCTAATGAGGGTGTTTGGTCATATATGACATTTGCACATTATTGGAAGTATTAAATGTAGTCTTAAATTTAACCGGCTTTAACTGATATAAACAGTTTCATTAACAGATTATGTTAAGCTTATGCTAACTATCTTAAGCATATGCAATTTAATGCCATATGCACTATGTTAATGCCAAGACTTTTGAATCTTATGTTATGTTAATAAAACAGTTATGTACGCACAATCAGGGATAAAAAAAACGCGTTTTATCCAACAAAGGGTATATTAACTTGTAGTCACCAGCAAAAATGTACGCTAAGCAATAAATAAGTAATCTTAAATATGTGAATTTCACATATTTTACCTTATATTTACCATATATTTACCTTACTTATCCTAATTAAAATATTAAATAGCTCAAGACCCTGTTAAAGTTTACTTTTATTTTCTATGCTTTAAACACAGAACTTCTGATCAGGTAATGGCTGTCGTTTCGCATTCCAGAATTAACCACTTTCCTAGCTGGTCTAATGAACACCGTTTGCTATCCATTAACCTTTAGCTTGCATTTTAGCCTCATTATAGTAAACCTCATCGATTAGTATGTACGGTCCGTTTCTAATTAAGTTCTTTCTGCTCCCTTGGGCAGCAGCAGGTGCGCACGTCTCATTAGCGGAAACCTGCACATAATTAACGCCACAGAGGCCAAATAATACGCAAATGCAACATCTGAGCAATCAGAGCATTTGAAATTATGACATTGATTACGAGATGAAAGCCATAAATGCCCCATAGCCGTAGGAACAGTACAAATAAATATAGATTCCCAGTTCGTGGTCAATACACAAAGGAAATGAACAAGCGCCTAAAAGCGCGCTTCATTAGGCTTGATGTGATTGTGATATGGGGAGAGAAAAACAATGACCCGTAGAGTTCGAATCAGGTAAAAATAATATGAGCTGACATTTGTTGTCGTTCAGGCTTTAATTTAACATGGGCCATGGCTATCAAAGACTATTATTCTTGACCAAATTTCAGACAAAATATTTGCCAACTCAGTACGAATGCTGACGCAGCATGACGGTTCAAACTTCTGCATAATAAATATATCTATATAAATATATCTGTTTGTATATGGACATTTGTATTTTCCATGTAGATTGCCAATCAAATTATTTGAAATATAAAATATTTAAATGCGCTGCAGCCACTCTGGCCAGTCGGTTTTGGCGTCTACAGGGTGTTTCGTTAAATGAAGGGCCACTTTGCGTGATTGTTGCTCAAGTGACCACCCTGTATGACCCTGTCTGCTCGCGTACGTAGAGATTTTACCTTTTTTGTAGCTTCCACTTAAATATATGAGCATCTATACACAATTCCCTGTATGTGTGCAGCTTCCCAGCTGGACCCAGCTGTACCGAATCATGGTTGTTAATAATGCTGATGATGAGCCTGCCTCTGCTGCTGCTGCTGCTGCTGTTGGGAAGGCGTTGCCTGTTGTCCGTGTATTGATGAGAACTCAATAATTCAATGCAGCTGCTTGGGCAGTCATTAACGGCAGTGGGCAAAGGGAAACGAAGAAAAACGATTCGAGTGGGATGCGCGGATATGCGAATAACTACATCGAAAGGTCGCCTATAATATGGTTATGCATGCTTTTAGGCGCACAAGGCCATGCCCCTAGCGAGTGCCAGTGTGGCCAGTTAAAATGCTGCTTCTCGTATGCTCTGCTAATAAATTTATCGCTGCACAGCAACAGCCGTGCTGCGACACGCCCACCAAAGGGCAACTGCAGTTGTTTATTATGCATGTGGTGTCACACACACACACACACAGAGACCACAGTGCACAGCATCGTCGCTTTTAAACTGTGCCAAGATTATTGCTCTATTTTGCGCTTCAATGATTTTGCACACCCCTTCACAACTTGGCAAAGTCTAATACATTTGAATCTATATGGAGGTATGTGTGTGTGTGTGTGTGAGTGTGAAAAAGCGTCATAAAAGTGTCATAAATGTTGATAAGACATGTTTGTCAGGCGCCTTTCCAGCACCTGCTCACCTGATTGCTCAAAGACTTGCGGGCGTAGGCAAAAGTAGGGTGTCTGCTGTCGTTTGCCAATTTGTGTGGGCTGATGATAAATGCATAGCCTGGCATTATACAGATTGTTTTATTAGCTATAAGCGAAGGCTTGTATAAAATAGAATGCTAGCTAGTTTAGCGGGCATAAAATTGTGTGGATTTGTGATTTACTCAACAATTTGTAAGCCTATTACAGCCAGCCGTATTTCTTAGCTCTAATCGAGCTTGACTTGGTAGCTAAGCAAGAGTATTTACTACAGCGAACGATTCTTTAAAAAGAATAATAACAAAAATAATAAAAATGCAAAAGTGCTTCGTTACCCTTGTTGAAGCCGCTAACAGCTACTGTCTGAGCTCATTTATATCAAATTGTGACAGCCATTTGCAGCAGGGCCAACACGCATGATTGCATCGGTCAGTGGCCATTTGTTACCAACAGAAGGCCGCATCTGCCGCTGTCATTGATGGCCTCAATCAAAGCTCTCATATGCAGTGATGTGGCCCGTCAACGCCACGCAATGGACAAGCTGATGAGCCCCCCCGCCCGACATCCGCTACATTGTGTCATCCTCCTCAGCAGGCAGCCAACTCTTTTGTCTTTCAGCCGGAATGTGCCGCGGTACCAGCGACAGCTATGAGTGCGCAAATTATGGAAATGAAATTGGCTTTTGGCCTCACAGTCGAGTCGAGCTCATGACCATTCGCTGCTGTTCAAGTAATCAAAAATATGCTCAACTTATGATTATGTAAAGATGGGCATGATATGAATATATGAAACTATTAAAGACAGCCAAACAAATTGTGTGAGCGTGACCGACTGGGAGATACCAATTACCATTCAAAATCAATATGAGATGAAAGTTAATCCAATTCAACTAAATTCTTAAATCTCTTGCTTAAAAGGACGCATCCGCAAAGTCTTGATAAATAATATTGTTACTTTATGAAAGATCTCAGGTAACTAATCAATCCCACTTTATATTGGGTACAGGGTAACATAAGGTCTAGTACGCTAAAACATTTTGAATACATAAACAAGTGTGACAATGGAGTTGTATAAGAGTATGTGAACACATTTAGAATGGGCTATAATATAAATTGCAATTAAAACGAGACAAATTAGATTATATTATCTTAAGCAATTGTTGTAACAAGCCAAAAGCCGTGTTAGATAGACTTAACTTTTACAAGGGAACTTTCCACCCAAAACAAAGCTGCTGCTATCTCTGACGTGTCGGATTCAGCTGAAAATGTTAACAAAAACTCCTGTCAGCACAGCGTATGCATTTGCGGTTGACAAACTTTTGGATGAAAATGCAAGCACATAAACAACTTTGGATAGAAAACGTTTTTAATTTTTAGACAACTCTGACCCAAAGGTAGTACAAAATTAGTTAAGAAAGAACAAATTTAAATGCTCGCCTAGGTTGTGAACATTGCGTAGCTCGTCGTCGGGCTCATCGGCGAACAGATGGAGAATGACACCGCAGCGTACACAGCGTACTAGCACGTTGGCCAAGACCAGCATCTTGAAGAAGACGGCCATGCCTATCTTGCTGTACATGCAATCGGAATGTATCTCGTCATTCATTATAATCCGCGCCAGATCCAGTCCTATGGAGTACATGCTGGCCAGCCAGCAGAAGCTGAAGAGCAGCAGGTAGGGGCCAAAGTACAGCAACATGCGCTTGTTGTAGGGCACCTTGTCGCCGTCCCGTATGTTATCCCGCGTGTTGCAGAAGTTGCAGCGA